ACCAGCCGAGGGCTGCTAGTCCCTAGCGTATCTAGTAGTAACACCGGTAAAGGTGCTATTCCTCAGTAAGCAGCGCCAGCCTCTCAGTTATCGGCGCCAGCTTATCATTCATCAGGTCGGTAGTTTGCTTCAGAATATATATAGCCTCCTGCTGCTGGGCAGTAGTCTTAATTTTGGCTCCCATACCGCACCATACGAGCTGAGCTCCTCATGAGAGCGACAGCAGAACACAGTCCCTCAGCGTTCAGTGACCCTGCTGTTATGTGATCTTTCAGCGTGTGAGGACAGCAAAAAGCCCTTTATGACACACGCGGGTCCTACTGATGGTCTCCTGTTATCAACAGCAAGCTTGTGACGCCCCACAGTGGTTTCTGACCTTGAACTCCTGCAGGGTTGTTATTAACAGTTTGGGTGTATAAACCGTTTTAGGACGCGTGGGACTCCCGAGACCAGCCTGAACCTGCACCGGAAGCGCATTTGTGAGTGAAAGTTGAGAAGTGTTTCCTGTCTAACAGGTTGTAGATGACGTAAGGAAAGGAAGTGATGGTGGTGGGAAGGTTTAGAGAATGCCTTCACGTGGAACTCTGGGAAGCTCTACATCACTAGCCGTTAGCGTGTCAGCCCACATGACGCTGTTCGGGTAAAAATAATTTATAACCTTGCTTCAGAACGGATGAAACAGCTGGGTTTTATTTGCACATTTCTCTCATTTAATGTTTGCAGAATAACGTTCACAACCACGAAGCTTAGGTCTGAGGACATGACGCGAGACGTCTTCCCAGGAGGAGAATACGACGAGTGATTTTATCCTCAGGTGGTTCTGGGAGGGGTAGACCGATGTTTGTCCTTAGTGAAGCCGATTTAACGTCAGGCACGTCCTGGGGCAGCCCGGTGCTATTGCAGATTTTTATTTAAATGCACTTTTACGTTGACTAAATGGTTTTTATACAGCACTCATCACGGATAGAGTCACAAAGTGCTTCACTTAGATCAAAACTAAATAACATATAAGGATCTCAAAACAAAGCTTTGGGTGAAGCAGCTTTAAATAAAAGGGTCTTCAGCTGTTGGTTAACGGGGTCCAGACCTACGTAAGGATAAAGGAAGTTCTTTCCAAAGTCGGGGTGCAACAGTCAGGTGTTGGCGGCGATCTCTGATGACGGCTGGAGACACTAGCTGAAACATGTCGGGTAAAAAACTACTTTTTACTAAAACTGTGCCAGAACAGAACAAAAATGGATGTGCATGCACGTCGGCATCGGTCCGGGCTCCAGGAAACCCCTCCCGTAGAAACGTCCAGGTCAGCCCTCATCAGAACTGCAGGCAAACACCCAAAATTACCTGGAACCAACTGGATCCCTGCTTTTAGACTCTGCTAAGGACCAGGAAGCTGCAGGAAACTTGCCTGAAGGGCAGGTAGGAGGCGTTGGAACCGGAGATCAGAGCTCTGTAGGCTTCTTCTGGAGTCTTCTTCAGGTAGATCACCTGAGATACAGAAACAGACTCCTCAAGCTTAGCTGTTACATCATACCTGATCACTTACAAAAATAACAGGACAGGAAGTAACGGAGCACTGGGATGAAGCTACGGCACACTCAGAAACCAGACTAAAGACAAAACATGTTGTTAAAGAAAAACTAGAAAAACATGAATCATCATAAGAAGTTTAAAAAAATACACTGTGTGTGTGTGTGTGTGTGTGTGTGTGTGTGTGTGTGTGTGTGGTTGTGCGCGTGCGTGTGTGTGTGTGCGTGCGCATGTGTGCGTGTGTGTGTGTGTGGGCGTGTGCGTGTGTGTGTGTGTGTGTGTGTGTGTGTGTGTGTGTGTGTGTGTGTGCGCGTGTGGGTGTGGGCGTGTGTGTGTGTGTGCATGTGTGGGCGTGTGCGTGTGTGTGCATGTGTGTGTGTGTGTGTGTGTGTGTGTGTGTGTGTGTGTGTGTGTGTGTGTGTGTGTGTGTGTGTGTGTGTGTGTGTGTGTGTGTGTGTGTGTGATTACAGAATTGTTTACGGAAACCGGAACATCTGGCTGAAGGAAGACTCAGAATTCCCACCAGGAACAGACCCATAAGTACATCCTGGTCCAGTCCTCTTTAGGAACCGGCTGAGTCACAGACAGGTTGTGTAATCCTGAGCGGTTCAGCAGCAGCAACGCAAATCCCTCTCACTCACGCTTCCTGAACAGCCTCTGTTGGGAGAAATGGACTTCGGGCTGATAGGCTAACAGCTAGGCTGAAAGCTTTAAACCTGACCTTGACCCTTCTCTGTCCTCCTAAAGCAGCTCCAGTGAATTTCCCACCAACCCATTAGACTTTTATCTGTCAGTTTCACCATAAGCGGTTATTTACGTGGAGTTCTGTTCTGCAGCACTCGCCATCTTTACCCGACACAAACACAGCATGAGGTGATCTGTGTGCTGCTCGCAAACCCAACAACGGCAGTGATGTCAAACATTCTGCTCAGTCTCTGAACCAGGAAACTAGCCAACCAGTGTCGGTCTCCGGCGTCACGTTTTTGGCGCAGCTCGGTGAGCTTGGAACCACAACGAAGCAGATGCTGAACGGCCGGGGGAGCACCGAACCACGTTGCTGGAGCAGGGCTTTCTCGGGATTACGTCTACCTTTTACTCAGGACAGGGGTGGACCTTTAAAGCGCCCGAGCGCCAATGGCGCTAAATTTTCTCATCGGGCGGTAAATACTTGACGACTTACCGCCCGGGTGGCGCCCAAGCCTTGTTTGTCATTTACACACCGGCTTTCACCTACATCATGGCCCCGCCCTGTAGGAAGCCGCCATTTTCGTTACGCGCGCGCGAACCTGTGTGCCTCTAGCCACGTACTGCACGTACTGCACTTGTACGATTCGTGCACGTACTGCACGATTCTAGTTCTAGTCATGTGAACTATAAGTTCACTATAAAAGACGAAGTGGAACCAAGCTAGAAACACACAAGCACGCAGGAAGATCGCGCCACCACAGGGATTAGATTTCTTGATGAAATCTCCGGCAAAACGCTTTAAAACTGGTGAGGAGAAGCGAGACAGTTCGAAACGGTATGAAGCAGAGAAGCGTGTGCGTAGGTGGAACGATTCTTGGCGGTTTAAAGAAGACGGGAGGCGCAGAGAATGGCCGTGTTCGAGTTGAGCAGCGCCTCGCCTGGAAAACAGGCGAGAGAAGACAAAGCAGCGGGGGGAGTGGCTGAAAGCCGGCGTTTCGCCCGGGACACACCGGCCGCGGAAGCGCCCGAAGCGCCGAGAAGCGAATCGCTCACGAAATCCGGCCGCTGCTCGTCGCTCCTCAGTTCAGATCAGACGCGCCTCGCCTCAGCTGTAGTTTTTCTTTTAACTCCATTTCCTCTCTATCTTTTCTCAGCTCTTTTCCTCTGTGTGTGTGTGTGTGTGTGTGTGTGTGTGAGAGTGAGAGTGAGAGTGAGAGTGAGAGTGAGAGTGAGAGAGAGAGAGAGAGAGAGAGAACCTGTGGTGTGAACCAGTTGTTTCTGCCAGTTGAATCTCTTGGATTTCCCTACATGTGTAGCTCGGGGGTGACGGTGGCTGAAGATGTCGCGTTAGCGTTCACTCTTGTTCAATTTTCAATTGTAATCCTGGTGCCTGTTAGCAGCTGAAACGCATCCTCACGTGCTTGTGGATATCATATATTGTATATGAAGACATGACTGTAATAATAAGTAAAGGTTATCAGCTGTAGCTTCAGTGTGCTCATAGGAAACGTGACAAAAGAACACAAAACACATTTCTCTTTATGGCCTATATAGTTGTCATCAACGTAACATGATTTACAGAATACATGTGACCAACTAACATTTCATGTTCTACCACCGGATGTTTGGATCAACATATGAACCAATCAGATCTTAGATCAGGTGAGAGCCAGGCGTTTCCCGTCATCCTCTAGGTTTTGCAGCCAAGGGAGAGCAACTGCAGCGCCTTGCTCCAAAATCTGCGACCGCCTTGATCTCACAAGGTTATCATTGCCTATGTATGCATGACGTCAGAGCAAGTCGGCGTCAAGTCAGACACAAATCTAACCGGCATGCACCGCTCGCCGTTCACCGCTGGTCTAGTCTGCACAGAACTGGCTCATCTGGAACACAGCCGATGGCTCGAGTACAGCAAAGCGGAGTTGGTGATGTACTGCGTTGTATGCCGTAAGTATGCAACAACAAAATCGAGTTGTTGAGGGAACAAACAAATTCAAACTTGAATACGTTATTATGTTTGTGAATGTGTACAAAATAAAGGTTTATTACATTTAAAACGGTTCAGTTGTTATTTTGACTCGTTTTGGCTGCTGACCAGCGGGGCCGGTAAATATTCAGAGTTACCGGCCCGGCTGGCCGGTTAGTTTTGAAGTTAATGTCCACCCCTGCAGGATGGACATCCGCTCACATGCAGCAGCTGAACAGGAAACGTTAGATCTTAAATCTCATGACCGAATCAAGGATGAGCACCATAACGGAGCTTTTTCCCTCCAGAACACAACTGCACCAGAGCTGACGTTCATGAATGAATCAAATCATTTGAACGCAATTTCAGAGTGAACGGTGAGAGCCGAGTCCGTGTAGAGAGCCGTTCATCTCGCTTTCCAGTGACAACCCCCCCCCCCAGTCTGCAAAATGCAGCCGCTAACCCCCCCCCACCGCTGTGACGGATGTCGGCGGAGCGCTACCGACCCTCCGTGAGCTCTCACGGACTCCAGAGCAACATGTTGACAATGGATGGTCACATTTTCCAGATCTCAGGGACCAAATTGGTCCGTCAGCAGGAACAGACGGTTGTCATGGATACAGAAACAGGTAAAGGTAAGATTAAAAAACACAAAGAAGAGGGCTGAACTCACAGCGTAGCCTCCGATCAGCACGGCGGCGTTGGATCTCTTCCTCTGATCGAAGCTGGTGTAGTGGACGATTCGTTTCCTGGTCAGAGTGAACGACTGCGAACAAGAAGCAGAGGGTTACTCACAGATCTAAACTGGAGCGGTTTAGTTCCTGATTTTGGCTTCCGACTTGACGGATGACCGACTAAAAACATGCAGAGGGTTAGGGTTCTCATGAGACCTGCTGCCGAGTCCAGTAAACCTGGATAAGCACGCATCCTTCTACCCTACAGACCCCCACCCAGCAGCTCCACCAGCTTCTCTGCTCCAGCAGCTTTAGGGTTAAACTGGAGAAGATAAAAACACAGCAACCATCTGTTTCCATTGGTAAGTAAATCCTGGGTCCCTGAGCCAGTCTCAGAAACATCTCCACCTGAACAAACTTTCCAGTCTAAAGGAGCCGGCTTCTGCATGAACAGGAGAGCAACAGAGACGTCGGTCTCTGGAGTGAGACAAACCAAACCCTTTATGAAGTGATAAAGAAGAGCAGCTCCTCCGATGCATCCCATTAAACCAAAGACCAGGACAGTAATAACTGCTGGCTCTACCCATCTATGCTCCAGGTTCTCCTCCTTAGAGAGGCGGGTGTGCATGGTCCAAGGTTAAGGTGGGCGGGGCCTGAGTGTGGTTAAAGGTTGAAAAGCTTCATTTTTTAAATACTTCCACGGAGCGTTTAAAGGTGTGCAGAATGAAGCTACATTAATTCCTTTAAAACGGGTGGGGAACCCTGGTCCATGGAGGGCCGCTATCCAGCATATTTTTTGGGCCATTCCCATCTGTACCGGGTCGGCCCGGGCCGGGTAGCCCCAGTCGGCCCCACCCTGGCCCGGTTGATTCCACACATCCTTGTCTTAAGCCCATGTGGGCTGATTCTACCCACCAATCAGAGGCTTTCTCTAATGGAAGGTGTGAATTTGCTGTCAGCAGTGGGTGTGTTGGGCCTGGTCGGCCTGAAGCAGACCCCCTCGAGAAGAGGGCTGAGAATGAGCCTTGGTTGGCCCGGAAAAATACCAGGCCACCCAGATATGTAAACAACCTACGCTACCCGGCCCGGGTCGACCCGGTACAGATGGGAATGGCCCATTAGTTTCAACCCTGCATCATCACACCTGATTTCAATCAGCAGGTGATTAACAAGCTTCTGCAGAGCCTGATGAACTGCAGAACAGGTGAATCAACCACTGAATCAGAAGTGTTGGAGCAAAGACATGCAGGACACCGGCCCTCGAGGATCGTGGTTCCCCACTCCTGCTTTAAAAGCTAAATTTTTATTTAAAAACATTGAAACAATTATTTAGACGGGCACAACACTGGGTTTATGTTTAAATCTACCCGCCACTAGAGGGCACCATTGCAGGTTGCCAAACATTCCGCTGGGCACAGCGAGGATGGCACTGTGGAAAATGGCGGACTCGGCTGCTTCTGAACTAATGATGTGACGTTCACGAACGAATCAAATCTTTTGAACGGGTTTTCAAGTGAACGATGAGAGCCGAGTCCCTGTAGGGAGCCGTTCATCTCGTCTTCAGGTAATAAACCTCCCCGGAAGTCGGTCAAGCACACCTGCTCAAACCCCACCCACCGCTGTGACGGACATAGGAGGAACCGTAACCAACCCCGTGTGCCCTCACGAACGCCGCAGGAAGACGTTGCTCTTAATACCCCCCCCCACCCCCCGGGCTCTCTTGGCTTCACTTTGTTCAAAAGGAGCCAGTCTTTTGAACGGCTCTTTGACCTAAACGACCGACTAATGAACGGCTCCCATGTGAGAGCCATAAATCCCATCACTATTCTGAACCAATAAGATGTTCTCCTTCTCAGAAGAGGAGCGACCATAAAAGATCTAAACCCAGAGCGAGTTTAGGTGAAGCCTACAGCTGATGGACCCAGATAAAACGTTTCACGTATCGGCAGTGAACCTGGTGTCCTGACGGCTGGAACCGTGTTCTGCTGTTGCAGCTACCACCTCCACTCACTAGATGTCGCTGTGGTGTTCACGTTCCACCTTTAAACCAGGGTTAACCAGTGAGGTTAGTTATGCTGTTAAACACAGATTACGAGTCCACTCGTGTCAACGTCAGACCCGTGCTGCGTGTGGCAGACGGCTCCAGACCATCCAGTCGGCCTGAGGAATCCAGTCGCCATGGCAACAAACATAAACACAAACAAACAGGACTAACAGTGGGAAAGAGCTGCTAGGCCCAGCAGAGAGGCTGCATCGTTACATTCCTGCAGAGGGAGAGTCAGCAGCAGCAGCAGAAACTCACCTTTAGCTTCTTGTTCAGCTTGCAGCAGTATCGGTACAACATGGCCAGGTTCAGAGGGCCAAAGTCAGTGTAGAAGCTGTGAAGACACAGAGGACAAGACAGTTTAAGAGTCTCCGAGCTCCTCGGGCCAACAACAGCTGGAGGGGAACAGGGAACGAGATGAAGAGCTGCTGAGAGGGAACGTTTCTGCTCAAACTCCACAATAGTTCCTCATGACCAATGCTTTCACACCATTCACAACACAATTAATCAGAGTCAAAACGAGACTCGTTAGCCACATGCGAGTCGGGTCTCTGGAGCCCTGCCTTACTACTCGTCTGGAAAAAAGGGGAAGAGGAGTTAAACTAAACTTTTCCCAGTTTGTTTTTCCAGGATGAGGAAGGTGAATTTACTGATGTTTTGCTGCATTTAGAGATTCAACATAAAATGATGATCCTAAGAGGATTACGTCTGAAATGTCCACCTGAGCAAGATCCATGAAACAGCTTAAATAGCAAAGAGAAACTGGTTCTAACTGGATCCATCCGGCTCAGACGGGACGCATGCTGTGGTTAGGGCTGGGTGATATGGCCTAAAATTAATATCCTAAATGAACGATAACTACAGGTATGAGCAGAAACAAAGGTTGTCCACTAGATGGGGCTGTCACGTGTATTACGCTGAGTCACATTTTTACGAGACTCGAGATGGTGCAGCTTCCTAAAGGGACATGAATGTTGCTAACCTACACACATTTTTTAATTTTATCATCAAATTTACCGACGTGGGAAAAATTATCCCGATAAGTGTCCAAAATTGGATAACGATATACTTTCGCTTTATTTCCCAGCCCTAGCTGGGGTGGATGTTGTCTGGAACATTGGTTGCCATATAACTTGAAATGCTCTACACATATCTATAGCAACCAATAATTAAAGGTTTTGTACAAAAAAAATAAAAATCTACACCCCTCCGACACGTATATTTGGTGGTGCGCACACGGGGGGGGGGGGCTCAGGGAGCCAAGTGGCGATTAACAATCAGCCGCCGGCTGACTATAAAGGACGACGCCACAAGGAGTTGGGTGAGCTCCGCCTCTGTGCCGGAGCGTCGCAGCTACGCTGTTCTGTGTGTGAACCCCGACTGGAAGCTGGTGTACTGCTACAGTATAATCCTGGAAAAATCTCATCCAATCACCGCGAGCGTCCCTTGGATCCTGATCCACCCATCATACTGCCCTCTGACTGCCCCTTCCCCTCTGCACATAACCCTCTATCTGCACGGAGTTCCCAGTGAAGCCGGAGCTGGTAGTGATGAGCTACAGTGTAGCCACAGCTGCTCTGGAGCGCACTGAGAGTCTGTCGGAACCACGGAGGCTCTCCGGCTGTTACGTAGGAGCGTTAAGCCTAATTTACACTTGTCAGTCAGCTTGAGTCGTGCACACGCACTGACAGATGTTTTCCCTGCATACCTTTCCTTTACCTGGGGAGTGCTGCAAGGCAATTCCCCACCAGGACAAGAGTATATCCACTACTACGGTCATGTATCCAGTCCAAAACAGTGTATTTACTACTGTTTTTTATATTGTTTTAAAGGGGAACTCTGCAGTTTTGGCTTGCGTTTAGCACCCCCTAGTGTCCACTTGTAGAACCAAAAAGAGGCCTGGAATTGAGTAGCCCTGGTCTACAATATGCAGGAGTCGTGCTGGAACCAGACTGCAGTGCCACGTATGTCAGCAGAGCAGCCCACCAGTCTGAAGTTGCAAGTGGAATATGCTGGCCACAGGGCACGATAGGGGCTGAGTGGCCTTTCATTAACCTGTAAAAGGTCATTTTAGCACATTCTGGCTCGAGAAAATTATTTAAAATATGAAAAAGTTGCAAAGTGTGGCTTCCATGTATTTCAGAAACTTTAAAACATGGATGAATTTGTCCCTCGTTCTTATCCACCTCTTCACATGATCGGCACCTCTAAACCCATATTTCTCGTCTTTCCTGTACACAAATAAAAAGCACTTGCTCCATAGCTTTTTTTCAGTCACTGGTGGATAAACATTCATATTTTCCAGTCCAGCACTGGCGCCACATCCTCCATTAACTGCCAATTTTAATCTCTCAATTCCAGTGGGTTACTCTGCGATCAGACACTTCAGCAGACACGGCCCATCCCTGTGCCGTTAGTCTGTTAAGAATCTTACTGACTGAATTTCACCTGGTTTTACAGGATTGCTTGAGTTTACAAATTACAAATGGCTGTGACAGATATGAAGGCACAAAGTTGTAGCGGGATGGATGGCAGACGGGCACGTCTCCCAGATCGGGAAGCACACATATACCAGCATTTTCCATGTTCATGCAACTGTGGTGGAGATGGTTGCAGATCTGCTACTAGAGTGCACTGGCCAGAGTTTTGTGGGAGAGGACGTTCTCCCCAAGGTAGACGACCTGATGGACGCGACGACGAAGAAGAATGGCTTACTCATTCACGGGGGTGCTGTGGAGCATCACCGGATGACTGTACACCGTCAGAAAAGCAGGAACCCCCCAGGGACCGCGCCACAGTGAGGGACCACAGTGGAGGAGGGGTGGGAGAGTTTTATCTCCCTCTCAGCGATCACCTTCCCTATCCCAAGCTGGACGGAACCAGGGAAACTACCGATAACTGGTGTTGGGACCCAGACACCAGTTTCGTCCTCTGAGGGTCACAGTGGACGCTCATCAGTTGTGGCTGATGTCGCTTCTATGGACTGCAGATGGATGGGTGAGTCCAAACGTACATCCTATGTAAAAGGACTGATTGAGGGTGTAGATGTTGCTGTACTACTTGACTCTGGTTAAAATGTTTCATCGATTTCGGAGAACTTTAACATATCAATCCCTGCCCTACGCAAACATGTACTTGGTACCGACCACACGTTTGCTCATGCTGTGAATGGACAACTCTTGGACACACTTGGAACAATGACCATTTCAATTGGTCTCGGTGAGGTCTACGGAGAACACACTTTACATATTGTCAGAGGGGCTGCACAAAAAGTTCTTTTGAGTTTGGATTTCATGCTTGAATATCAGGCTGTTCCAGATGTAGCCCAGGGGTTTGTTTGCCTCAGAGGAACAGACATTCCCTTGTTACATGCTACTGGATTCATCCCAAAATGCTGTAATATCACCATGCCTGCAGATGTTATTGTTCCACCATACCGTGAAATGGTTTTTCTCGTGCAGGTAGAGTTCCCCCGGACCACGGGTCCACACCTTGACCCGTACATTGGGTACCTTGAGCCAGAGGCTTGTGACAGTATGGAGATTGTGATTGCACGTACAGTGGCACCAGTAAAAGATAGGCTCACTGTTGCACAGCTGCCTAATCCTACTGATCATGAGGTATGCATGCACACTGGTTCACATTTTGGGTTCTTTACCAGGTTGACAAATGTGATGTTTGTGAGCCTACTCATCATGGTGTGGACTCTGGTCACCAGCAAATAACCTTACCGAACCTGTCTGACTGCCCCTTGTCTGACACACAAAGAGAACAGCGTCATGATGTGTTGTGTAAACATCAGGAGGTCTTCCGTCCTTGACGGGGTTTTTCCAATGGGGTGGAATGATCAAACACTAGATTAATACCATAAATACCATATCGAACACAACATGCCACCCAGCTCCTGGTGCAATCTACTGTCACCTCCCGCCTCGATTACTGCAATGCCCTTCTAACTGGTCTTCCAGGCTGTACTGTGAGACCTCTTCAAATGGTCCAGAACACAGCGGTGCGTCTGGTCTTCAATCAGCCTAAAAGAGCACACGTCACCCCTCTGTTCATTGGGCTCTACTGGCTACCGCTAGCAGCACGCATCAAATTCAAATAGCTAACACTAGCATACAAAGTCCGAGATGGTACGGCTCCCATCTACCTGAATCCTCTTGCAAAGGCTTACGTCTCGGCCCGGCCGCTCCGGTCATCACAGGATGGTCGGCTAGCAGTGCCTACACCACGCTCAGGACAATCCAGACTCTTCTCATGCATCGTTCCACAAATGTGGAATGACCTTCCAAGCACTACAAGAACAGGGGCTTCCTTTTCAATTTTTAGGAAACTCCTGAAGACCCTGCTCTTCAGAGAGCATCTTCTAAACTAGCACCCTCCCTGCACCCGCCCCCCCTCTCTACTGTCCACTCCTTGTTCCCTCCTCTCCATGACTGATGTCAGGTTGTTGTTGTTGTTGTTGTTGTTAGCCTCAAGGGCAACATGCCGATTATCACTTGTAAGTCGCTTTGGACAAAAGCGTCTGCTAAATACATAAACATAAACAAACATAATACTGGCGATCAGCCCCCAGGTAAGCAATGAGCATACCGTACCTCCCCAGACAAGCATAAGGACATCGATAGACAGGTGCAGCAGTTTTTGGGTGATGGCGTAATTGAGGAAAGTTGTAGTCTATGGCACTCTCCTGTAGTTCTGGTTAGGAAAAAGGATAACACCTGGAATTTCTGTGTCGACTACAGGGGTCTAAATACTGTTAAGGATTCCCATCCCCTCCCACGGGTGGACGGCACTTTGGATGCACTTGCTGGGGCCACATGGTTTAGCACCTGAGATTTTTCAGATGGCTACTGGCAAGTGGAGGTAGTTGAGGAAGACCATGAGAAGACAGCCTTCACTGACGGATATAGGCTATACCAGTTTGGGTCAATGCCATTGAGCCTTACCAACGCTCCAGCGACCTTCCAAAGAGTTACGGAGCTGGCGCTTAAAGGTCTCCCCTGGCAGATTAGCATGGTGTACCTTGACGACATTTTGATTTACAGTAAGTCCTGTGGGGAGCATGTGAAAGCGCTGGAGGGGGCGCTTTCGAGGATCAGAGCTGCAGGTTTGCTACAACTGAAACTGCGCTGATCCTGCTGCTGTGTATTTCACTCGACAACTTTCTTCTACAATCTGCTCTTTAACTGTATTATTTCCTGTTATTTCAGCTGTTAACGTTATTTTCTCTCTAAGTGTTTTTCTCCCCAGAAGAAGCTACAACGATGTTCTGCTGAGCTGTGGTGGCCTCATGGAGGGGGCCATCGACTAGCACACTGCTGCTAACCACTTAAACATTCTCCCTCTCCTGATAATAACTTTTTACTCTTTGACATTGAACGTGCTACTACTAGTTTACGCGTGTAGTTATAGATCCACTAGGATAAATACAATAAAGTTTGTCTCTCACCAAATAGAATATTTACTAAGAAATCACAATGTAACCATAGCAACACTACTTGGTATATATGTTGTGTGTGTGGATGTGTGTTTGTGTGTGGGTGGGCTGGTGTTTGTGTGTGTGTGTGTGTGTGTGTGTTCTGTCGTCTCCATCCCCAGTGAGTCGTGGAGGATGGCTGCTTATACTGAGCCAGGATTCTCTGGAGGTTTCTTCCTGTTAAAAGGGAGTTTTCCTCTCCACTGTCGCAAAATGCTTGCTTATTATGAAGATTGATGTAAAGTCACTGACACTAGTCAGTGAATTGATGCAATTTGCTGGGTTCCTTATATAGGAAACATTATTTCTGATTGGCTTAATGAACTGACCTGAATTGGAATATTTTATTATGTGTAGTGCCTTGAGATGACTCTTGTCGTGATTTGGTGCTTTATAAATAAACTTGAATTGAATATAAGCCTGGGGATCTAGTGTGATTAAATGACCTGACAAAGAGCTGGCTCCTCACTGGAAAGACCCATACATTGTGCCGCAGGGGCTGGACAGGGACGACTAGGTTGGGGTTACCGATGTGATTAGCAGCCCATTTGGAGAGGAGGCCCCCATTCAGACCGTACACTATGACAGACTACGGCGCTAGTCTTCCAGTAACTCCCACTGATTGGGCCAGCTCGGACTCCACCTGTGTGTTTACCTCCAGATCTTGTTCGGTCACCAGCTGTCTCCGACTCAGTGACCCCGTCCCCTCACCAGCGCTTGATGTTAGCACTAGTCCTCGCTCGGGTTTTTAAAAATTATTTTAACACCCCCCCCCGTCTCTCTTCCCCCCCCCCCCCCCTATCTCTCACACACACACACACACACACACACTTACTTTTCGTAGACAAACTCGTCGTCGGTGCAGAAGTAGTGTGTGTTGGCTGTGCTTTTGGGTTTGCTGCGTAGCGTGGCGAAGTACAGACGGTCTGCAGGAGAAAAACACACCCAATACTGAAAACTGAGCCCAGATCAGTTGTAACTTTAAATCCTAACCCATCAGTACTGGTTACTGGTTTTAGTGGCATTGTACAATCCAACAGGTATTGTGGTTTCTCTGCTCCATCACACGTGATTCAGTGGTTGAGTCACCTGTGCAGCAGGTCATTAGGCTCTGCAGAAGCCTGTTAGTCACCTGCTGATTGGAATGAGGCGTGTTGAAGCAGGGCTAAGACTAAAACCTGCTGGATACCGGCCCTCCAGGCCCGGAATAAGGCACCCCTGTTTAAGAAGCTGATTAAATCAACTCCACTGCGATAAAACCAGATGTGTGTGTTGGTGGGGGTGCTGTCAGGTGTGACGAATGTCCAGCACCATGCTGAACAACATCCTCAACAGTTTGTTTCTACCAACAATCAACCAACAAGTAAAGAGCATAAATAAAACCGCAGAAGACCAGGTTCTGGGTCCTACCATGGTGGTGCAGATGCTGTGTAGGTTGGCTCAGAACCAGCTGACACAGTTCTACACTGTCCGCCCTGTGAATTATTTCCTTCAGCCATTTTAATTTTACTATATTTATTAAATATGATCCAATGTTTAAAAGTTCTTGTAAATAGGTAGCCTAAGTCTCCCTTTCTGGTGGGCCCATAGGTCCATTCCATCCATCCATTTTCCTCCGCTTATCCGGGGTCGAGTTGTTGGGGCATCAGCCTGAGCGGGGAGAGCCAGACTTCCCTCTCCCCACCCACTCGGGCCAGCTTCCCGGGAGAATTCCAAGGCATTCCCTGATCAGCTGTGAGACATAGTCCCTCCAGCATGCCAGGGTCTTCCTTTAGGCCTTCCCCCAGTTAGACGTGCCCGGAAAACCTCACCAGGGAGACGTCCAGGAGACATCCTGACCAGATACCCGAGCCACCTCAACTGGCTCATCTTGATGTGGAGGAGCAGCGGGTCTACTCCGAGCCCCTCCCGGATGACCGAGCTTCTCACCCTATCTTTAAGGGAGAGCGCAGCCACTCTTCGGAGAAAACTCCTTTCAGCCGCTTGTATCCGAGATCTCATTCTGTCGCTACCCAAAGCTCGTGACCATAGGTGAGGTTAGGAACGTATATCGACCGGTAAATCGAGAGCTTTGCCTTCTGACCACGACAGACCGGTACAACGCCCGCATCACTGCAGATGCAGCACCAATCCGCCTATCGATCTCACGCTCCATCTTTCCCTCACTCATGAACAAGACCCCGAGATACTTAAACTCCTCCGCTTGGGGCAGGACCTCATCCCTGACCTGGAGAAGGCGTTGTGCCCTTTTCAGACTCAAGACCACAGTCTAGGATTTAGAGGAGCTGATTCTCATCCCAGCTGCTTCACACTCGGCTGTGAACGGCTCCAGTGAGAGCCAAAGATCATGTTCTGATGAAGCCAACAGGACCACATCATCTGCAAAAATTAGAGACTCAATCCTTAGGCCATCAAAACAGATCTCCTCAATACCTTGGCTGTGCCTACAAATCCTGTCCATACAAGTTATGAACAGAATCTGTGACAAAGGGCAGCCTTGACTTACTGCCGGCAATGTGGACCAAAGGGACCTAACAGGCCGTATCTAAAGCCTCTTTCCCACCAGCAATGGCTCCACACCGCCCGGATAGCCTCAGTCAGCCCCAGCCTGGCTGATTCCAAACATCATTGCTTGGGGATGCAAGGAATGCAGTCAGAGACGTTCTCAGCTCCTAGGTAATCAGCATGATAATGAATTATGCTCTAAGCCCAGGTGGGATGATTCAACCCACCAATATGAGGCTTCCCTAATGGAAGGCGTGATTTTAAGCCAGCCCACCTGTCAGCAGTGGTCGTGTTGGCCCTGGTCAGCCTGAAGCAGACCAGCTTAGGAAGAGGGCTGCAAAACAGTCCGGTTGTACCCTGAAAAAGGCAGGTTATGCTAATGTGAACACTCTCTGTGCTATTCAGACCATGCAGAGCTCCATACTCCCGAAGTACCCCGCAAAGAGACCTCAGAGGGAAGCGAACTCCTTCTCCAAATCCACTAAAGGCACAGAGTGGTTGGACACACTCCCACACACCCTCCAGAACCCCCTAAGGGTATAGAGCTGGTCAAGTGTTCTACGGCCAGGACAAAAACCACGTTATTCCTCCTGGTTGTGAGGTTCGACAATCCGCCGGACCCTCCGCTCCAGAACCCCGCAATAGACTTTACCAGGGAGGCTCAGGAATGTCATCCCGCTGTAGTTAAAACACATTCTGCTGTCTCCCTTTTTAAATAGGGGGACCACCACCCCAGGCTGTCAATGCAGTGGTTGGTGTCCACCAGCGGGGTTGAGGGTTGCTGCCACGACAGGCACCAATGACCCTGCAGGCGCAGTGCCTTGAAACTGGAAGTGTGGCCCACTTGGACTCGATGACCCCCACCTCTGTCGCAGGTGGTTATTGAAACGTCTTCTGGCAGGAGAAAAGAGCTATTTTCTAATTCACTTTGCCTTAGACCCTGGATCACACGTCTTATTTCAATTTAAATAAAAAGTAATGATGGGTGATTCGACCACGCCTGTCACGTACTTTGAGATTTATCAGCTTGTAAAAGTTCGTAATTAGCACGACTACAAACCAGGCGTTGATAACGTCACATATGATGTCACCACAGAATCTCCTCCCCCTAGCGTAGCTGCTACTTACCATATGACCAGATTTATGGTGGTTATTTCCTCCTGAAAAAGTTCATTGAACTTACAGCCATTTTTCCTCGGCATTTCTCCGTGTCTGGTTCAATGACGTCAATCAGGTGAAGCGCATTTGTAGTCCTGGACATGTTTTCACACAAAAGCTAAAATAACGTTTGTCCCTGTTTGAAAATAAACACTCACTTGGCATCATAATGTGTCTTTAAATTCACAGACATCACATGTGAAATCCATGACACATAACAAATGGGATTAGAAAATTAGGTTTTATAACCCCACTGACTGGAGTTCATTTTTTAGTTCTTCCGGGGACCCGTGGTTTGGAAGTAGATGTGTAACAGACAGAACCGGGACCCAAACAGAACCAGGGTAACAGCAATGGGTTTGGGTGGCGCGGTTCCTCCATCCAAGTTGTCTAAGGTCTGTTTATCACCATTCCTCAGTGGTTTCTCCTCCTGTTCCCTCCATAAGTGGGTTATAAACACCGTGGATCTACTCCTGCTAACTTACGTCCACTAACTCCAGCTGTTTCTGTAGTTTCTGATTCCTCCACCTCACCAAGCATGGCTCTATTAAACACCCACTCTGTTAACAATAAGTTCTTCCTGCTCAATGATCTAATTCTCTCTAAAACCTGGACTTTGTTTCTGACTGAAGTTTAGCAACAAAAAAATTTCTGATTACCACTCATTACTAACATCTCTCATTGCAACCACCGCTCCATCTGCAGAACAATTATTTGACAAAAAAATAATTAAGTACACTTGATTAACAGACTAATAGGTTTTTATGAATTGTATTTCTACTAGTAGCAAATAGCTGTGGATATCTTTATAACTAGTAAGAACATCATCTGAACTAGGATTATGATATTGTCTCTATGTTTAATAGGAATAACAAGCAAGTGTGGTTGTTGATTAAAATGTTAAAATGGCTTGCCACAGCGGGTCAGGTCTGCTTTCACAGCCAAACAGGCTCCGTGCTTCTGCTCTCAACCGAACTACATCAGTTCCTGTAGTGAACCCTGCTCCCTAGTTTAACACCAACGTGGAAAAGTTGAGCGCTTGTGGAAAAACCCGTCTCCACATCCATCTGCTGCATCCAAAGGACCTTCTGACCTTCTGTAACTCTGCAGAGACGTGAGGGTTGTCTATTTCTCCAACCTGGTGTCCCAGTCTGGGAGGCTGCCAGAGATTTTGGGCCCCATGAAAACATATCAGGTTGAGCCCCCTGGGGGCTCGTCCATAGCTGGAGCTGGGGTTCCACCCTCCCAGATTCGAAGGGAGAAAAAAATATAATATATATACTTCATATTAGTGTTTCAGTTTTGCTTACTTATGTAGGTCTACATGCATTCTTACTTATTTGCATATCATTTTCACCAGCTGTCTCTCAGTAAACAGTGATTTTCCTTCAACAGAATTAGCAATATCACTGCTGGAAAACGCAGGAAATGCGCATGCTGAAAGGTGTTAATCTCCTTTTCCTTATTACTCCCTTAAAATGTGTTTATTCATTCTAAAATTTTATTTGATTATGAAATTCAAATTTGGATATCTAATGAATTTTCCATGTTGTGTCAAAGCTTTACATAACTTCATTTTCAGCTGTCTTTCCTCTTGAAATCAAGTATTTCTGTATGACGGACAAAAATTAAGGATTCACTGCTCACAAGGCGACTTCTTTATCAAGTCTCCACGGCTTCATCACAGACACAAAATGAATAAGCACACAGTTCAAACCGGAGTCAGTTAGGGTTACATCCAATCTTAAAGTTGGACAACTTTGCATGAATGCGTTAAAACGCACCTTGGCTTTGCTCTGGGACTCCCAGAGGTGCTGTTTAACACCATCAGCAGTGTTGTTTCTCCTGCCTCTCCTACAGCCTACATCCACCCTGATGCGGACCGAAAACTTTCTGTCTGTCATATATATATATATATATATATATATATATATATATATATATATATATATATATATAATGTTTTAGCTCGAGAGGCGCTATAGAAAACTTTGCTTCTTCTTCTAAGTGTCTTTCATTAAAACAACTCAAATGCATAGAAACTGGACTTTTCCAGACCAGCCAAACCTGTCCATACAGCTGGGATTGGTGAAGACCGACTAAAAACCAGTCCTCCCATCACCACGACCAGCTGAAGCATGAACGACTGCTTAAATCTGAGGTTTCACCTCAAGTTTCCGTCAGAAAACTAAACAAACCCCGTAATTCTACAAACGTTTGGAAGAAATAAAACAACACTGCATTCTCTCCAAAACGTCTGTTAACTCGCTTCTTTATTTTAAGAGGATTATTTATTACTGGCTAAGACCATCATTATTCTTGGTTGTCACGCTCATTTCTAAAAACTTAAGAGAGCCATCTCCATTTTGGATGTGTTGAGTGGATTTCCGGTTACCTTTGATGAACTCTGCGCTTCCCTTCATGTCCGTGTCCTCTGCCATCCTAAACAGGGCAGACAGGACCGGGGAATGCTTCACACCCTCCACCGCGCCGGGGACGTCTAATTCCTGCGTCGCCAAGCCTCCTACGCGAAGCTCCAAACTTTTTTAAACTGCTAGCAGCTCGCTAGCCGTAGGCAGCCGCCCGGCCAGAGACGGTCTCTGAAAATGTTTTAAAACTTTCTCCTCAGCTTCCTATCGGTCTCTGCCGTTTCCCGTCACTCATAACGTACTGGGTCCCACCGTTCCCGGTGTTTGCGTTCCCCTAAACACTCCCGGCCGGACATATTAGTTTGTTAACACAGCGAAAGCTTTTCGACGCTCAGAGTGTCTGAAACTCCGACTGACCACCAAATCCCTCCTTAAGACACGTTGCTGTAGCAACGGGAGCCGCTCTCATGGCAACCGCAGCCAATCACCAGAGACCAGTCCGTGCTGCCTTCAGGGTCTACTGGGAAACAGGAAAACAACTATCCCTAACTACGCAACATTGCTAGTTTGAAACTTTATGACGGTTTTGTTTATACAACATTTACTAATTAATTATCTAAACAATGACGATATTTACTGATTAGGATTATTTTCATCTGCTTTATGGAAAGTTAGGAATCCCGGCCTCCTGCAGTGATCAAAAATAACTATTAAATAGTTATGTTTCTGTTTATTCATTTAAAAAGACAACTTTCAGCCTGTTATTGGAGCAGTTAAAATATATTTTGTTCTAATTTTGCCATCTTTATTTAAAACCGTTTCTCTAATATTTTCTTTTACTTTTAGAAAAGCTTCAGGTTTAGGCTCAAACATCTTAAGGTTTTCATTTGGCGATTTTCTCAAAAAAAATCTAATATTTCTCACATCAAACATTTGCTCTTTCATCACTTCTATACACTTCTTATGTGAGCTACGTTTACAAATCAAAAACTCCGCTTTATTGTAAAGTCATGTAAATGTTAAAATACTGGCAGTTGTTTATGTGAAACATTAAAATACTTCTGATTTTTTCATTATTGTGACTTTTTGAGCAAATTCTGACTTTTGCATCAAAACACTGAAACCTTTGTTTAGTTTTTTTTACTGGAGAAGGTGGACTAACTTTAAATAGGGAGAATCTGAGATCCTGGTGCGTATAAACCAACAGTTGTTTGTTTGTAGCATTGATCTTTGTATTTCTGAAACCTTTTTTGTTAACATGACAAAATAAAGAGAAGAAAACCCCTACTGGAGGGTTGAATTAGATCTGATCCGTCATCTTTATCCGGCTCAACTCATACATGAGGTACCAGATCGTTTTCAGACAGAAACCCGGGGAGCACAACTTCACACTGAACCAGACATTCAGAAGCTGGCTGAAGAATCTCCAGTCAGACCAGGTTGGTTCTCATGTTGGGACGTACAAAGATGCTGATGCTGATAGCAGCTTTAATAATCTGTCCTGATTGGACGGTTTTAGGACCCAGACTCAGGATCAGGCTGATGTTGGAAACTCCGCCTGATGATGTCAAACTCACCTGCGATCAGTGAAATCCACACCCTGTTTGGAGCTGGTCCTGAACCAGGTGCCGATCCAGGTCCTGGTCCTGGCTGGGGGATCCGAGGGTCGTCCTGGAGCGTCCTCCAGGCCCCGGTGTCCGTCATGCTGCAGGACGAAAAACAAACTGCGAGGACTCTGAGCTGCGGAGGTGTCGGGTGACCCGGATCAGGTTCCTGCCGGTCCCAGAGGGGACAGAAGTGCGAGTTTCCAGTGTCTTCAGGTTTCAACACACATTCAGGTCTGAGCTGGACGTCCAGCTGTACACACTGCACATCAGCTCACCTGTGGCAGGTGAGTGAAAGAGGTTAGGACAGTGAACATGACACCATGGCCGTGACGCCACGGAAACAGCGTTGGGGTCACAGGGAGTCCTGGTTCGGATCCATCAGGTGGCGTCTCGAACAGAAAAACAGCTGATCGCAACCCGCTGGAGCCCGATGGCGTTTTGAATTTTCACCCAGAACCCGACACCAAAACAAAAACCCTCCTTCAGAGAAACAGCCATCGCTACCCGAGAGGACAAAATCAGAGATGGTGCCGCTCACGCCAGTTCAGACTAAACACAAACTTAGTTCGGACAAAAACAGAAGGATCTTGGTGTGGAGGCGCTTTCATCCCTTCAGTTCTGCCCTCGCTCCATCCGAGCCTCTTCAGCAGCTCACACCTTCACATCCAGATGAAAACACAAGTAAAATACCTAAATCTAAACATCTGGAGCTGAACTGAATGAACACAGCCGCAAGTCCACATGGAAAATCTCTGAGATGTTCCTTTAAACCCATAAAAACAGAAACATGGGAATGTTGAGAAGCGTTTTATTTACTCATTACAGTAATTTAAGGAAAAAACCCTGAGAGACAGCAGCTAAGAGGGGCGACCGGGTTGGGAGCAGCTACAAGTCCAGCAGCGCGCGCGTGTGTGTGTGTGTGTGTGTGTGTGTGTGTGTGTGTGTGTGTGTGTGTGTGTGTGTGTGTGTGTGTGTGTGTGTGTGTGTGTGTGGGGCTACAGGTTGGGGTTAACTGCTCCTGATCCTTGACATTCAATGATGAAGGTGACATTGCTGCTCAGCTCATCTTCACACTTGGTTATGGTGAACTTGGCCTGCAAACACAAGATACGAGTCAACAGGACTGGCCGGCCTGGAGAGGGTCCAGGATGAATCAGCAGTGAGGGAGACGGTGGCCGATGGGTTGCCGGTTCGAACCCAGGCTCCGTCAGTCGTTTCCTTGAGAAAGACACTTGACTTGTGCCATTTAACACCCTGTTATGATTAACCCTCTGGGGTCCAGGGTGTAATCTGCCATTTTTGACTAATTTAGAGTTTTCCTTTGTATTTCCAAAATAAAAGCCATAACCACTGCCTTATGTGGCATCAATCTTTTCAGCACAACCTGGACTTTATGAATCTATACTTATTTTTTATATTTGGACATAAAGGGGTTGCATATTAGACCTTAAATCACTCAAAAACATTAAATCCGAACTGGAAAAAAGTTGTTTATTTTACTGTGAAACCAACAAACATTTATGACGAATGTTTTTTATAATTCAGAATGGTAATTTAGACTGTACATTTATAAAAAATATGATTAAATATAGCAAATAACAATAATAACAAATAATAATAACAAATTTAAAAAATAAATTATTAGCCCTCTGGGGTCCGTTTTTGACTCATTTTGGTTTTTCTTTTGTATTTTCTAATAAAAACAATAAATTTTGCCTTATGGGGTATCATTAATTTCAGGACAACCTGGACTATCTGAATTTATACTTATTTTATTAATTTGGCAATAATGTACATGCATTTTGGAGTGGGGAGTGGCTCTGACAGCTGCGCGGCGCCGCCCACTCCTCTTGTTGGATCTCCGAGGAGCTGCATCTCTGCCTTCATCCTCCACCTCATCATGACCCAACTCTTCTATGAGGAAGGATGGATCCGCCACATCGTCATCAACATCCTCGCTATTTGCCTCAGACTCCGGCTGCGAGTCTCCGTCCACTTCCTCTGCTTCCAGTTCAAAAAACAGCCGTACTATCTGAACTGCAGAGACAACATATCTGTCCGGATCGCTCCAAAATATGACGTTTACCGTCAACACCTGTCTAATTGCTTGTTGTTACTCCGTTCGCGCCACTCCTTTCCCCGCCAAGCGGCTCCTTTTAGCGCACATCTCGTTACTCATGCGGCCTTCCCCTCTCTCTCAGCTACATAATGATGCTTTTTATCAGCTGAATACGTGAGACTTCCACCAACAGCAAAAGGATCTCATGGTTTTATGTTCACAAGCACATTCCCGCTCACGGATGACTAAACTGCTGTTTTGACAAGTTGTCAGATTGTCTAAAAACAGGTCGTTTTTTAGTTTGGTATAACTCCGCTTTTACGTTGCCTTTAACACAATTTAAAAACTGGGGTGTAGTTTATAATCTCCTTTTTAAAGCCAAATTGGAACCGAAACTCAGGGAGGCGGAGTCTTGCTGCTACAGCGTCCCAAATCAGACCTGTTCATGCAGGCTTAACATGAAAATAGTCTCCTACACCCATCTCCTGCATTAGCTGCTGATAGGAAACAGACGGTGAAACTCTATGATCAGAAAATCCTGACTGATCTACATCACCCTGTCACTAACATTCATGGACTCACCCATCTTTACTCAGGGAAAGGCTGTTGTTGGTTTAGCGTCCAGGAAACAGGAGAGAACGTCTCTGCTAGTAGAAGCTAACGTTAGCATTAGCTACTCCACCACACCAGCAGAACTCCTCCAGGATTGTGTTATTGGTGGAGGTAAAACATCAACGATGCAGAGCAAACAGTCAGTGGTAGTTGTGTTGCTGTTAGCCAATCAGAGGAGAGATGTCCACATATCAGGAAGTAAGACTCCCGATCCTGCCGTCTGCTACTCTCCTCTGCTCTGGCTCACTTCTGGTTCCTGAAACAGGAGCGCCAGAGCCTTTCCCCCCACAGAAATTGACCGATTCATTTGAACGAGACACCACTGCAGATGGTAAACTTGCTCTTTAAAAAGTTTTCCCTCCATTTATCCAAGGTTGGTGTTGAGGAACCACATCCAGGAGGGAGAACCCAGACCTCCTTCACATCAGACACTCTCCAACTCCTTCTGGGAATCTCAAAGTGATTCCATGGCAGAGGATCTGTAATCCCTCTAAGAAGGTCTGGGTCTCCTCCCACTTCTTGGAAAACTAGAGAGAGGAAACCAGGAGGCATCTCGACTGACTCCTTCAGAGGAGCAGCAGCAGCTCTGCTCTGAGCTCCTCCCCATCTGTATGAAACATTTAATATTTCCTCCTGCTTTAAAGTGCAAACATAAAAATAAATCTGTTATTGCTTGAGGTTTACGACCTCTGGGCCTGACTCTTTTGCTCATCAGAATCTAAAATTCGTGTATGGTTGTTGATGCTGTTGTCATGGCCGTGACCTCTGACCTGTGTCAGCTGCTCTGCGATGTGAATGGCCGTCCGCGTGTGTAGTGTCACGGTGCCGGTCCGAATCCGAGACGTTCCCTTCGCCAGCGCCATGAAGATAATGAGCTGAGGAGGAAGGGTTTGGAGAGGTCACAGCGAGGTCATCAGGCGGGTCACTGACAGCCAGGTGTGTCGGAGTCTCACCTGATCCTGCAGGAACTCGTCCACGCAGCCGTTGTGTCGGATGTTTCTCAGCAACATCTCAGCAGCTTCAATGCCGATTTTATCAGCATACACACCTGAAACAGGCAGGTGAGTGTTTACGGGGGCGTGGCCTAAAGCAGGACTACCTGGTGATTTTGTGTTGTTGAGTCTCAGAATTTGTCGTAGCGCTGCCACCTGCTGGTCGGCGGACCTCCTCACCTTTCTTCCCCAGAGCCGAACCAGCAAACAGACAACCTGTCGATGACTCAGCGATGACTCTGAAACACAGACAAGAGAACCAATCAACAAGCTTCTCCTGAAACAGCTGCTGAATTTAGTGATGTTAGCGAATGGGCGGGGCATACATGATGCCGTTCCCGTTCCCGTAGGCCTTCTCCTTCTCCTGTAGTGGCTGGATGTTGATGTAAAGCTCTTTGATTTCCTTCCTGATGGTTCGAACAGCAGCAGCAGACATGTCTTTTGCCAACTAAAAACAACACCAAGACCCAGTTAAGTAAAAAAAACAGGTGCCAACAGAACATCTACGGGGAAACGATCAGCAGCAGGAGACACAAGACCTACAGAACAATCCTCCAAAGAGGAAAACGTCTAAACGTTCACCAAGTTTCTTTATTTCAGGTCCATCAACGATTTATTTTGGACATTAAACGTTTTCGGTGTCTGAGCCGAACAACAACTATTCATGTTTTAACTGGTTCCTCCTCTCATCTCACATGACCACATCTTGGGAGACACAAGGAGAGGAAATGCGGATTTAATTATGGGATAGGCGCAGGAACAGTCCGACTTCCTGTCAACTTTAGAAAGAGTTTGAACTTTACTTTGAAGGGCAGGACGCCGGCCACGAACGCGCGGCCGTAAATCTTTGCGATGGTTCCTCTCTCTGTCATGGTGACAGGCTGCAGCTCTTTTACCGGATTCACCGTCACCGCCACCTCCCCGCCTCCTTTAGGGTAGTAGCCCCTACGTAACACACACACACACACACACACACACACACACACACTAATAACAATGGATAGGATTTATATAGCACCTTCATGGTACTCAAAGCACTTTCTATTATTCACGCACTCACATTGCCATTGCTGGTAAGCTACTATGTAGCCACAGCCACCCTGAGGTGGTCTGACAGACGCGAAGCTGCCATTTGCACCCTCAACCCCTCTGACCACCACTAACACTGGAAAGTTGGGTGAAGTGTCTTGCCCAAGGACACAACAGCAGAATACCCCTGGCAGGAGCTGAGATCAGTCCCACAATCCTCCAGTTGCCAGGTAACCTGCTTCACCTCCTGAGCATGCACACACTAACAGGTGTTCCTGAACACACCTCATTCTGATGTTGCAGTCAAAGTGGACTCCAAACTTCTCCACGATGGGTTTGAAGACCTGCCGAAGAAAACCTTTGGGTTTATTTGATGTTTGAAACTGAGAACATAAGATTAAAGGTGCATGATGTAGGAATGACATTCTGTGGTCAAATGTAGGTACTGCACACAATTTTCGAAACAGCGTTCTTACACTTTCCCCACTGACAAATTCAAACATGTTTCAAGGTACATTTTCAAACTTTTCAACTTGTCTTTGGCAAAGACAAAACTGTACATAAGGACTCAAGAGGTAGGCTTCATCACGGGATCAGAAATTCGACCTGACCACGTCATTTTTAAATACTGAAATCAAGTGAAAAAGATCAAATATAAACCTTATGAAGCAACTAGCATAACATTTTAAGAGTTTCAAAGGAAATGAGAAAGGCTTTGTTTTAATTCTAACCTGTCTGCTTTAAGTTCTAGTCTGTCACCTTAAACCAAACACCCTGCTCTATCAGTTCCCGCAGCAACTCGGACAAGAACACACAACCAGCCGACACTAAAACACAAAGAGAAAATGCCTACGGACAGTAAAAACATAGCCAAGATAGCAGTTGTAGTGATGAAGATTGACTACATTTTTATTAAAATGACCAATAAGATGTGATGATTCCATACAAATTTGAAATATCAATCTGATCCTTGAATGTTTAATCAGAAGATTCTAGTTACTTCACTTATTCAGGGACCATAAACACACTTCGTATTAATTCAGACAGAGTCAAGTATATAGTTTTTTACCGTAAATCCTCTAATACAGGCCTGTATTTGACTCAAGCTCATCAAGCTCCAGGCCTTTATTGGAAGGAGGGCCAGAATTAGAGGCAGGCCTCTATTTCTATTTGAGTTCGGTTGGTTCGCTGGAGTTTTTGACAATTAAAATTGCGCCCACATTTTCAAAGTTAAACACATTTCTTTTAACAACGGTAGTTTCTGCTTCAGCCCTCTCCCCCCTCCCCCTGCTTCAGCCCTCTCCCCCCTCCCCCTGCGCAGCGGCCGCAAACTCACTGGTGCGCCTGCAGCCTCTCGGAGTTCCTGCTGCTCTAAACATTAAAATAATTATTTCATTTTCTGTTCCTCACTTCTGATTACCTTCAGTGGTGTCTGTTTGTTGTAACCAGCAGGTACAAAACTAACTTGTTTTTATTTGACTATTTTTCTGTCCTGTCTGTTTATTATCTTCCTGCATCTCCTCTCAATCCTAAAGAGAAACTGCTACCTGGGTTCATATATATTCACCTCATGAGTTACCTTTGAACTGCAGCTCTAAAAGATCTACCGACCGCAGAAACAGCGGAGTGCTCGCCGGCCGCATCAGTGATCGGTGCGTCACCGAGGACAAAACAGGTGATGCGCCCCGCTCCACAGCAGCGAAAAGCATCAGGCACAAATAAAAGAATAAAAGACAGAAAACATAAAAAGGAAATGAGCCGACATGAACGATCGCGTGTTAAATTAGTTTTTGAGGTGGCGACACCTGATTTGATAATGTTACTGTGGCCGTGCTCAGGACGCAGATGTCTGGAGCGCGTCAACAATCAGAGCTTTGCATGTGCAAGCTGGTTAAGGTTAGGATGGGGGTGAGGGGAAGGTTAAATTGCAAGAGGGTAAAGGTCACAGTTTGGTTAAATGTCCGTTTTATGGCGGGTGTCAGTACCGACGCTCTGGCACAGCGCGTTGCCTCCCGACGCGCAGGAGCTTGTCACCTGCTGACAGCAGGCTGCTGTGTTTTCCGATGACTGCACAACGTCTTGTTCCAGCAGGACACGCTGCATGATGAGCGCACCTCCAAAAGCATATGTCGTCGCTTAATAATTCCAATGATTTTATGTGCGTCTGTTTTTACTGGTGTGTTTTTACCGGTGTACAGCGCTTCGTTGGTCCTTTTGGACACCTCAAAGTGCTTTTTAAGTAAAGTTGATTTGACTAAGAAGGCCGAACCAAAACCAAGCTGAAAAGATAAAAACACCTCTTTAGTGTCAGGTCACGACCCAGCTCATCTTCCTCAAAGAGGAAGGATCGTTTTCAAACTCGCGCTTTGGCCTCAGTCTCCAGGTCTGCTTCTCCCATCTTCCAGCAAACAGCTGATCTGTCTGCTGGACATTCATCTTTCATACATAAAACCCCACTAAATTACAGAGAAGCAACCATCTCACAGATCGCTCCAATATCCAAACTTTTGGCATGAATTCAGTGTCAGAGTTCACTCCGCAGCTCCGTGACATGTCAACACACCTGCTGTCACGGAGAGGAGCTTCCTCTGTCCCACAAAACTCTACTGAACACATCCTTATCGACTGAATGTGTGAGATTTCTACCAACAGCAAAGGAACATTTAAACAATGTTATTCTACTCCAAATTATTACAAAAATGTTTCAATTAAATTTTTACAATATTTTGTAACAATCCAAATTATCACCGTCTTATACTGAAATATCGATTCAGACTGGAGGTGGAGTAACAATTCAGGAGCGAATAAGAAGAAGGAGGTTTACAAACCAAAAGGCCCCTTTTAGCTGCTGGCTGGATGATATTGGTCTCTTGCACGCAACCATCATAAACGTTTTATAGTGAAAGCAGGTCTGCTCCATAGCGAAGTGAGAGGACACGGCCGGTCCAGCGGCTGGTCTCCATCAGGAGGAGTCTGCTGCTCACACAGCGGTGTTACAGAAAGGAGCTGACCCTCTCAGAGCAGCAGCACCTGTGTTTACTAAAGGCAAAATGGTCGCTCACTAGTATTCTTCTAATCCACCCTTAGCATTGTTGGCTTAACGTTAGCGTCTCATCTGTTTCGCCCGACACTAGACTAAAACAAAAAGACGCCGTGGATTCTTAGGGGTACAAGAAATAGCTTCTGGGTTGCTCCTGTTGCTGGTTTGGGATCTTTACACATTGCCGTTTTGCCATCTGGTGTCAGATACAAATGCAGGTGCAGCAGGTAACTGGCTCTGACTCAGCAACCCAACGGGCTCACGGACTGTAAACAATAAAGCTTGGTTTATGCTTGACGCATTCGCTTTCCGCGCGGTGATGCAGCTCGCGGATGGAACGCGCTTCACAACTCGCAGCGTTTATGGTTCGTGCGGCTCGTCTCTGCGGTGAGCCAATATTCTCCCAAACTGTAGGGGGCAGCATGGAGCTCTACGGCATGCACCCATCACTACACCATAGTAGAAGTAGAAATTACTGTTTACAACATGGCATTCCAGCATTTTTAACAGCGTCCTCGTCTTTTCCGACAGTGCGAGCTATTTCTCTCCAAGAATTATTAACAACATGTTGATCACGATGATCTCTGAGAGCTGAATCATACAAATGTCTGTATTTACCAACCTCTGCCATACTAGTTCTTGTCAGTCCGCCAAGTTTTTCCACGTCCGTCCATCCGCGTGGTTAGAAATTTTCCGAGGTGCGCGTTGCGGAAATTCTGGGCCGTGCGGAAGCGCGGTGGAGGGGCGTGGTTGTTAAAATGACGCAACTTTTCCGCCCGGAGCCGTGCGGACCTCGCGGACGCGGCAAGCATAAACCAACCTTTACTACGTCCCTCTTTGACCGTTTCGAAAGAAAAATACCGAACATCCCCCGGTGGGCTGAGTTGTAACCGTTCCAGTAAAACCTTCCGTCCAACATGATAGAAACAGACTCTTTTGTGATTATTTCGCTGTTTTATCAATTGTTGTACCTTTAAAAATGAAGTTTTTACTGGACAGAATCAGTCAGATATTTGTCTTTTAATTTGTTTTTGTTATTTTTGGATGGTTATGACGATGTGTTTTTCTGTCAGTGACAGCTAGGGTCTTCGTGGACTCGAACCCCTTCTTTCCACCGAACGTGAAAGCAGCACGAAACAGCTGAGAAACGTACCGCGCAGAAACTAGCCGCCGCTACAGTGGACAGAGTCCTGTCCACCGGCAGCTAAGTAAGGTTTTGGACACGTCTCACAAGCAAAGGGACGCCATCATTACATTTCAAGTTTAGTTACTACGCAACCGACCCAGCTGTGTGGAATGCTTTCGCTCCCGTTTAGCATCAAAATCGCCCATGGTTCCCATGGTTGGGAATGAGCTCGCAGGTAAAACGCTGCTTTTATGTTACACCCCGCTTTCACGTCCAGAGGAAAGAAGGGGTAAGAGTGCAGTCAGTCTGTCTGTCAGGTGAAAACCAATCAGGACATGCCTGGTCCTAGAACCAGGTGTAGTGATCCTACAGCTCCTGCTGAGTGTTCTAGAGGACCTTGAGGGTGTAGTCGATCTGAGGGGCCATCTCTGCGTTGGTTCCTCCCTTCAGACAGAGCTGTGACACACCATCAGCGAACAGAGCACAGGGCAGAGCCACCTGCAGCAGCAGACACACACTCCTGACACACAAACGGGTGGGGGTGGGGGGTACAAACAATCAGTGACGGAAAGTCCCAGAATAGAACACCAACAGCAGCTGCTAGCCTCACCCCGCGGTCGTCGTGTCAGCCGTGTGGTTTCCTGACCGGATCTTTCCTGGAGTCAGGCTGATGTCGGTGGAGCCGATGCTGGCGCCCTGCAGACCACCTGAACACAGATCTGAGACCAGCTGGAGGCCGGTCAGGTGTTGAGGTCTGAACACACAAAAAAAGGAAAAGAGGTATCAAAAAGGTGCTCTGTTGGACTGGAGGCAGGGCCCTAGCAGGTAGCTGGCAGCCCAACAGATTACAGCGCAAATGTCGATGAAGGTGCAACTGTGAAATGTAATGTCTCAGAAAAGCCAGCAGAGGGCACTGTGGGATATGAACTGGGACTTAAGGAGACTAAACTAGGGTGTTTCTTAGTGCCACAGAACCTCACCTTGATGTCTTGGTCCCACCCCGGTTGCCTAGGAGATAGTCATCAGGAGCCGCCAAGACGTGTTCCAATGTCCATGTTCTACCGAGGCGTGTGTTCAACGTTTGTTAGCAGTTTAGCTAGCTGAGCGAGGATACAGGGGAGGTGTCTTGTAGCCCAGCCTTGGTCAAACATTTCCCAGAATACACCGCAGCATTTTCAAAAGGCTTTCGCTGTGGTCACGTGATAAGCTCTCATATTCCATCCATCCATTGTCTGAACCCGCTTGTCCACGTAGGGTCGCGGGGGGGCTGGTGCCTATTCTCAGCGGTCAACGGGCAATCAGGCGGGGTACACTCTGGACAAAGTGCCGGTCCATCGCAGGACAACACAGAGACACACAGGACAAACAATCATGCAAAGACACACTCACACCTAAGGACAATTTAGACAGACCAATCAACCCAACGGTCGTGTTTTTGGACTGTGGGAGGAAGCCGGAGAACCCGGAGAGAACCCACGCATGCACAGGGAGAACATGCTAACTCCATGCAGAAAGATCCCAGGCCAGGAAGTGAACCCAGGACCTTCCTGTTGCAAGGTAACAGCTCTAACTAAGCTCTCATAATTTAGCAGCAAAATGAAGCCAAGAAGAAGTGGCTAAAACTGCAGTTCCACCCTCATCCACTAGGGGCTGGCAGCAAAAGTGAGCAAATCCTCATTGACTCCCATGTTAAAAACTCCAGTTTGACAGCAGAAATAAACATGTTTACAGCCTGGCTCAAAACCCATTCTAGGTTTAAAAGATCTAGTTTACATTCATGACAACTCTGAGGGGGGTGGATTTTGTTGCAACTCTTCTGTTTAAGAGGAATTAAATGCTTAAAATTCTGAATAATTAATGAGCATCAGAGAAAGACCTCAGCCTTACGTTAACCGATGTTCGGCCATATCGGCTCTCTGAATTGTAGTTTTGTCTGTGTGTTCATGTTTGGATGTTAATCACAGAATTATTTGGACAAAGGGAGCAAGCTGTAGTTATTGACTGCACTAAGAGATCATCCAGACAGTTTCTGCTTCTGTAAGCTCCACAGAACCCAACTCAGCACAAAAATGGTGTTGCTGGGCATTCTGCTTGGTTTTATGGCTTTATGTCAAGCTTTAAAGTTAAAGTCCCATTAGTCATCTTCACACACTGGTGAAATTCATCTCCGCATTTGACCCATCCCCGTGGAGGGTGCGGTGAACCAGGATATGGCTGCAGACAGAGAAGCAGCAGGCAGAAAACTCAGGAGCAACCAGTGACTCAGCGCGATGCTGGCCCGACTCTGCTTTGCCAGGATTTCGAATATCATGACAAAGTAGATTTTTTTCAGTAAATCCATTCAAAAAGTGAAACCTGTATATCAGATTTATTCATTCCACACAGGCTGATATATTTTAAATGTTTATTTCTGAGCTGTAAAGCAGCTGGGATGAGAATCAGCTCCTCTAAATCTGAGACCATGGTCTTGAGTCAGAAAAGGGTAGAATGCCTTCTCCGGGTCAGGGATGAGGTCTTGCCTCAAGTGGAGGAGTTTAAGTATCTCGGGGTCTTGTTCACGAGTGAGGGAGAGCTGGAGAGTGAGATAGATGGGCGGATTGGTGCTGTGTCTGCAGTGATGAGGGTGTTGTGCCGGTCTGTCATGGTGAAGAGAGAGCTGAGTCGGAAATGGACAAACTAAAAATGTATATATGTTTAATTCACCCAAGACTGGAGGAATGACATCTTTAGTGGATTCTGGGCCTCTCATCTCATCCTCCACACTCTGGGACCTTGATTTCCAAAGGAAATACAAATTTTACTTAAATCAGAGAACAAAACTTTGGACCAGTCATCAGCAGTCCAGTCCCTTTTGTCTTTAGCCCAGGTGAGACGCTTCTACGCCATCTCTTGTTCAAGAGTGGCTTGACACAAAGAATGCAACAGCTGAAACCAGGTCCTGCACATGTCTGTGCGTGCTTCTTCTTGAAGCACTGACTCTAGCTGCAGTCCACTCTTTGTGAATCTCCCCCACATTTTTTATGGGTTTTGTTTCAACCCTCTCCAGTTATCCTTACTGCTCGTACACTTTTTCCCCCTAGTGCATCTTGTCCTTCCCTTCACCTCACTATTAATGTGCTTGGACACAGAGCTCTGTGAACAGCCAGCTTCTTTAGCAATGACCTGTTGTGTCTTGCCCTCCTTGTGCAAGGTGTCACTGGTGGTCTTTTGGACAACTGCCAAGTCAGCAGCCATCCCCATGATTATGTACTCTACAGAACTAGACTGCAAGACCATTTAAAGGTTATTTTCAGGTGTTTTGAGTTAATTAGCTGACTACAGTGTAGCACCAGGGGTCTTCAATATTGGGCCTTTTCACAATATTCTGAGATGCTGAATTTGGGATTTTCATTAGTTGTCAGTGCAATCATCAACATTAAAGAAACATTAGAAATATATCAGTCTGTGTGTGATTATTACATCTAAAGCACAAGTTTCACTTATTGAAATAACTGAAAAAAAAATCACCTTTGTCATGATATTCTTATTTTAGGACCAGCACCTGTGAGAGACCCTTACTGCGCTGGTTCTGATATCCCAGTTCATTACCCATTAGCTCCATTGACATCCTTAATTCAGAACTACTTTAACTGGAGTTAGGTTGCTGTCCGGTTTTCTCCTTCAATCCAATAAAAGTTTATTTTCTCCATCTTCCAGTTGAAAGCAATATGTTTAAACCCATACGAGGAAGCAGTCGTATAATATTTGCCAATACAACCGTGTAGATAAAGAATGTTTCGATCATTAACGCGGAATCAAACTTTAATGAATAGGCTAACATTAGCCTGTTAGCATGAGAGCCGCTATCTCACCTGAGTCCCGGTGAGCTCCTGCCCGCGCGGATTTTGGCGATCTTGATAGCGGTACCGGTGATGCAGCTCAACGCAGCGGAGACTCTCAGAATCTGTCCACCCTGTAGATAACCGGTACCAGGACGAAACAGACCGGCGCGGTCACAACCGGTTAGCCCTCTGTTAGCATATTACTGTAGCAACTTTTCTCTCGTTTCACGAAAGAATAAAATCTAAGTACTCACTCCCTCCATCACGCTGCCGTCTATCTCCACCGCCGCAGAGTCCATCTTCACTCTCAAACCTCAGCGTCAACTTTAAGTCGGACAAACTCAGCCCTGCTCAGCCGCAGCCTGCGGTACTTCTAACTCAAGCTAAACAGATTTACTGAGTCAGGCTACTTCCGCTGGATTTCAAAATAAAGCCACGTCCGTAGAAGAAGAAACAGTTCTTCAGATTCTATCGTTCATGTCTCAGTAAACTTTCTACCAATTTCAATCAAATATATGTATCATTTCTGAATAATTTTTAAATTTCTTGCCAAGACACAGAAAACCTACAAGATAAACGGATGTGTGACACAGAACAGGTAACTTAACACAGAGTCATGAGTACTTTGGAGAGACAGCTGCCGCTGCCACAAATTGCGCTCGGTCCTGCTGGTACTTTGTTGTCAGTCAACGCAAGAGAAACTTCAGCGTAGTAAATAAAAAATAAAACCTAAGTCTCCTCCCTTTCCGGCCGGCTCATGGGTCCCCGGAAAAACGAAAAGTGCGTTTAGGGTATCAACATCTTAGATATCATATATAATATTAGCTAGATGACCAACTGGAAGAGTAGTTCGAGTGGGACGGACTAGAATGGTCACGTGTCTGCCGGAAAGCCGTCCTCATTGGGCGGCGAGAGTTTAGGTGCACCGGTTGACTTAACGAGAAGACCAAACAGCGGCCTGGGAGAGCGGGGTTTATATAGTTAAATAGTGCCAGCTTTCAACGAGACGGTGAACTTATGATGGATGAACTTAGCTCGAGAGGTCGGACCTGATTTGAAGTGACACATCTTTTGGTGAACGCAATTCTCCCCGCTGAAGACTGATCCGTCTAAACTCGTCTTTAGCCGGGTTTTACACCGGCGGACTGGCAGGAAGGAGACCCCTGATTTTCCCCGCGAACTGCTTCTCTGTTCTGAACGGTGACTGTCGAAGAAGAATCGGAGTTACCGGAGAGTCTGGGTCCGAAGCCAAACAAGACAAACGGCGATCTTTCACTCTCCGAACAGGCGAATATTAATAGTTAGCAGGTTGGAGTTTGGAGCCAGCGGCAGGAGAACAGGATGAAATATTTCACCAGAACCAGAGTCAGACGGTCGTATGAGTGGCGAGGAGGGCCCGTGGGCTGCAACAGGAAGCTCAAAACTCAGGAGTATGGGTGAGAATAACTCCGTAATCTTCTCCTACAAATGCCTCTTCTGTGTTTATCTGACTGCACAGATAAGAAATCTGGAGGATTACAGTTCCAAACGAATAACACGGATAAGGCAGCCGTTATCCCGGACTAGACTTAGAAGATCCCTAGTTACAGTAGTCAGACGGTATCAAGTCCTAAATTCCCACTCCTAAGGAAAAATACATGAAATCCCAACTGGCTCCAAAAGCCAAAGTGGAAACAGGAGAAACATTGTTCCTTTATTTTGACTTTAAATCAAATTCAATTAAATTCAAGTTTATTTATGAAGTGCCTAATCAGGACCAGAGTCGTCTCATGGACCTTCACACAGTAAACACTCCAGTAAAGGTCAGTTCATTAAGCCAATCAGTTAAAAGTTACCTATATAAGGAACCCAGCAGGTCGCATCGAGTCACTGACTAGTGTCAAAGTCTTTACAGCAATCCTCATACTAAGCAAGCATGCAGCGACTGTGGAGAGGAAAACTCCCTTTTAACAGGAAGAAACCTCCAGAGGATCCTGGCTCAGTATAAGCAGCCATCCTCCACGACTCACTGGGGATGGAGAAGACAGAGCAGACACACACACACACACACACACACACACACACACACACACACACACACACACACACAAACACACACACACACACACACACACACACACAAGCAAAATATACTTGTTTTCAATTACGTTTATTGGGCCCACTTACATTTTCTTAGGCCCACCCACAAATGAGTTTCTGGCTACGCTAATGGTGACTTTTGACAGACTTCTCTGAGCTCCGCAGCCATTACACTTTTCACCTCACGCACCCCCTAGCGGCAGCTCACGCACCTCCAGGGTTGTGCGCACCACATTTTGGGAATCCCTGGTCTAAATTTTGCCTAAAATGTGTTATTTTGTAATTATGTTGTTTATTTGTTTACATTTTCCCCTTTAGTCTTTAAAATACCAATATTTACCCATAACTTCTTATTTTTTGCCTGTTTGATGTCATCATTTAAAAATATTACATCAGATGATACTCAGTACTCAAGTAGCCTTCTAATCAGATACTTTTTTACCCTTACTTGAGTAATAAACCCTATATCAGGAGAATATTGTCCTCGGTTTGTGTCCTTCCAGTGAGCTTTGCAGATGTGGGAAAATGTCATCAGGCAGTAATCGTTGTTAAATTCATAATTATTCTCGGAGAGAGACCAACTCTTATCTGCCCCTGGGAGCCCCGTAATGCATAGCGTCATTTCAACATGGCGGTGTCCGCGACACGGTTTATATGCAGGTAGCGGCGCTGCGGCTGCTTTATATAGCGACTCGTTGCATTCTCCCTCAACCCAAATCCTCGGATCACGCATTTTAGCTAAAACGCTAACGTTAGCTTGCCTTGCGTTGACTGTAGAGTTGTGGGTGATGGTCACGCAGATGTGTCATGAGATTTGAAGCGTTGCTGCCTTTCACAGACACTTTTTCTGCTCGTGCTGCAAACAGGATAGCCGTCTTCTATCAGCTGTCCCTCGGCATTCTTCAGATATCTAAAAGATGCCCGTACTTCCCACTTTGTCTTCTTTGAGGGATAATAAATGTCCTGAGCGCTGCCGTCTCCTCCTTTGGCCATTATTTCAGCTTTAGCTTCAAGAAAGTTTTGGTTGTAAACAACAAAGCGCGCATGTGCCGCCGGCAACTTCAGCAGATGATACGGTGGCTGGTAAGGGTCACCGCGCCTACACCGCAGCCACGGTAATCCACCGAGATAATAATAGTTTTAAAAAACAAGACGGTTATTATTATTGTCGACTTTTTTACCGGGGTTTACCGCTACACCGGTTACCGTGACAACCCTACTCATGACCAACAAAGTCGATCATCTTTTACTGTTGATGATCTAAATCCTAAATAATGCAGGTGCATTTATGTTTATTGAGACATTCTGGTGCAGATCAGGTCAAACCCACGCATGGACCAGCAGATAAACCAGTAGCAGGTCTTACTGGGAGTCACCTGATATCTGGAAATGAGCCTCACATCAGAACTTCACCTGAAATAGTTCAGTAGAAGCTTGGAAAGGTTCTGAATCCCTGTCGAAGTCTAGACGTTAAAACAATCTACGTGCTAAATCATCACCATGCTTTTATTGTGAAATCTCCAGTTTGTGTATTTCTTCCTGTTTAAGCAGTGTTTTGTTTTTTTGTCATTTTAGCCGGTTGGAGATTAAGGTGGAGGGCCTCCCGAGATCCACCTTCATCACGACAGGTCAGCACATTCTCATCGAGGGAGAGGATGAAGATAATCCCTACGTGGCCAAAGTAGTGCGGCTGTTTGGAGACGGTGAGTTTGGTCTGAAACACACTGGTTAGTGTTCGTGAGGGGTTCTCCCACTGAAGCTAACCTTCAGACTCCCAGGTTCTGATGGGCTCATGGTTTTCTAGGTTCTGGTTGGGTTTGCAGTGAAGAGATTCTCTGCTGGAGAAAAGGGTTCTACCATTAGTCAGGGGTCCGATGATATTAGTTTTTCTATTGCCGACACCGATTTGAGGCGGTCGTGGTCAGTCGATGGCTGATGAGTGCTGCTGATTTTTTTTGGGCTGATGTCTCGATGTTTGGCACCTCATCTGAATGTCTAATTATCACTAATAACTGTGGATGCACAAGGTTTCCATTCATCCACCCAGTGGTTGCTGCAGCGTGTACATGCACACATGCACATATGTGCATGTACATATACATATGTACACATGTATATGTACATGCACACATGCACATATGTACATGTACATATACATATGTACACATGTATATGTACACATGTACACATATACATATGTACATGCACATATGTACATGTACATATACATATGTACATGTACATATGTATATGTACATGTACATATACATGTGTACATGTGTACATATACATGTGTACATGTGTACATAATATGTATATGTACATGTACATATGTACATGTACATATGTATATGTGTACATGTGTACATATGTATATGTACACATGTACACATATACATATGTATATGTACATGTACATATGTACATGTACATATACATATGTACACATGTATATGTACACATGTACACATATACATATGTACATGTACATATGTATATGTGTACATATACATGTGTACATGTGTACATATACATATGTACATGTACATATGTACATGTACATATACATATTATGTACACATGTACACATGTATATGTACACATGTACACATGTATATGTACACATATACATATGTACATGTACATATGTATATGTGTACACACACACACATCATACATATGATGTGTGTGTGTGTGTGTGTGTGTGTGTGTGCGCGCGTGTGTGTGTGTGTGCTCTGTCTCCTCCATCCCCAGTGAGTCGTGGAGGATGGCTGCTTATACTGAGCCAGGATCCTCTGGAGGTTTCTTCCTGTTAAAAGGGAGTTTTCCTCTCCACTGTCGCTGTATGCTTGCTTAGTATGAGGATTGCTGTAAAGACTCTGACACTAGTCAGTGACTTGATGCGACCTGCTGGGTTCCTTATATAGGAAACTTTTTACTGATTGGCTTAATGACCTGACCTGTACTGGAGTGTTTACTGTGAGAAGCTCCTTGAGACGACTCTTGTCCTGATCTGGTTTGGAGTCAGGTCAGTTTGTTCCGTCCCAGCTGACCGAGCTGACACCTGCTGTCGTTGCAGAGAGCGGGCAGCAGAAGAAGGCCGTGGTTCAGTGGTTCTTTCGGGTTTCTGAAGTGCCTCTGAGCAAGATGAAGCTGCTGGGAAGAGAGCCCCACCCCAAGGAGATCTTCTTCTACCACGGACGCAGCAGCGAAGACGATGTGGACGTGGAGTCCATCCTCCGACCGGTCCAGGTGAGTTGGCATGGAAACGAACACCTACAGCATAAAATCCAGATTAAAAATATCTGGAGGTTTTAAATGATCCCAGTTTTTAACCTTCACCGTGTACAGATACGTTCCTTTTCTAATCAGGTTAGATATCCAAGTAAGTAAGTGAAACACTCCCCTGAACCGTTGTAAACATTTTTTACACAAACATAACTTATTCAGGCTTTGAGACTCATATTTGTGAGAAAAATACTTTTTTTGCCAAACCAAGTGAGGTCAGCTGAGGGAGTCCTGTTAGCTTACACTTGACACAGAGGAACCTTTACATGTTTATAATTCTACTCATGATGGACCAGAACCATAAAGTTATGAGTTTGCTGCTCGCCCCAGAGAGCAGAGACCAACTAGAGGGAGAAAGCATCGGCCAAAGCAGAGAGATTAAGGAGGAGCAGTAGCGGGGGGGCAGCAGGCGAGTTAACCATGTTAGCTTAAACTCATGTGCTAGCATCACAATATTGTACAGATTACTATCGTGTACCAGGCAATTAAGATGCTATCTGTAAGTTAATATGATATTAATACTATTGAGCGTCGGTCAGCGGTCTCATACTCGTTAATATCTGTTCACCTAACCTAGTGTTGTGCTTTAGAGAGAGGGAGAGCTTCCGGTTCTGGAGCTCATGCGGGCTTCTGTGAGCTGGATCCGACCCAGACACCAGCGAGCCAGTCCAGCTGGGATTTTTAAAAGCTGCTCATGGTCCTTCCCTGGAGGTCTGTGGCAGTTCTGATCTGGTTCCGACCCAGAAACCAGCTCGACTGGCCCTCTGAGCCACGCATCCCTTCTGGTGGTCGGTTCTGACCTGGTTCTGACGGTGATCTGAGCTCCAGAAATTCACATTTAACTTTTAAACCCCTCCACATGTCTCTGGTGCCCAGCGCGGACCTCCCTGACCCGGTACCGACCGATGTGGGCTACAGAAGTCCGTGCTGCAGAAACGCCCTCAGGCACGGAGATAGAGGCGCTGTTCCTCTGATCAGGAAACCCGTGGACTCGATGTCCAGACAGGCTGGAGTCGGTACAGCCTTCACACACTCTAGTTTACCAACATGAACACAACCCAGCACTAGTAAACACACACTGACTGGATCACATGACCTCTCTACCCTAAACTAGCCGCTCTCCACACTGAGCTGAGGCAGCCGAGCTTCTGACTCCTAACACGCTGCTGTTATGTGTTTTATAACCAAATATCCACAATAAGCTTGTCTAATAGTATTTTTGGACAGCATTTTATATGAATTAGAAAAAAATGTAACCTACAATTTGCTCTTTAACTATGGCAGCTCCAATAGGCAGCGCCAGTCCATGAGGCGTCAGTGGTTCTCCTGTTGCTTCTAGATAAGCTAAGCTAACGAGTGGAAACGTACATTTGAAGATGAACTCCTGCTGGGTTCTCTGGTTCTGACCCAGGTTGCTTCTCCTTTTGGTTCTGATCAAAGGGCAAATCCCAGCTGCCAACCTGCAGCCAGCAGTAGTCCTCCTTCACAAAACAGGAAGTGTGTCACCGACGAGGATTCTCCGTTTCTAAGTAGTTCAGATTTCCATCAGCGTGGTGGTTTCGACACTACAAGCCTTTTACATTTGCTCAATATAGAGCTCTGCTTCAGCACACCTGGTTTACACCGGCTCCTCAGGAGGACGTCAAGTGCTGCAGATGCCTGTTAATCACTCGTTCATTTAAGTCAGGTGCATGGCAGCAGGGAAACCGTGGTGTTTACATGGGCAACATGGAAAACATGCAGGACAGTGGTCCCTGAGGACCGGGGTTGGAACATGATAATCTTATTGTTCTAACAGTTTCATGTCCTTATAATAAAAAATCACTTTGAAGCTCGACCGGAAAAGGGTGGCTTGCCAACTCCGGGTCGGGGGAGAGGTCCTACCTCAAGTGGAGGAGTTTAAGTATCTCGGGGTCTTGTTCACGAGTGAGGGTAGGAGGGATCGGGAGATCGACAGGCGGATTGGTTCGGCGTCTGCAGTGATGCGGACACTGAGCCGATCTGTCGTGGGGAAGAGGGAGCTGAGCCAGAAAGCCAGGCTCTCGATTTACCGGTCGATCTACGTCCCAATCCTCACCTATGGTCATGAGCTTTGGGTAATGACCGAAAGAACGAGATCGCAGATACAAGCGGCCGAAATGAGTTTCCTCCGTAGGGCGGCCGGGCTCAGCCTTAGAGATAGAGTGAGGAGCTCGGACATTCGGGAGGGACTCGGAGTAGAACCGCTGCTCCTCCGGATCAAAAGGAGCCAGTTGAGGTGGTTTGGGCATCTGGTCAGGATGCCTCCTGGACGCCTCCCTGGGGAGGTGTTTCGGGCATGTCCTGCCGGCAGGAGGCCACCGGGTCGACCCAGGACACGTTGGAGAGGTTACATCTCCAATCTGGTCCGGGAACGCCTTGGGGTCCTGCCGGAGGAGCTGGTGGAGGTGGCCGGGGAGAGGACGGTCTGGAGCTCCCTAGTTGGGATGCTGCCCCCGCGACCCGGACCCGGACAAGCGGAGGAAGACGACGACGACTTTGACGCAACACATCATGCTCCAACAACAGACTACATATTATGTTGATTAGATAATAAAAGGTATGGTTAATGGCTTGTTGTTGTATAGCGCCTTCTTGGGGTTCTACAACCCCCCAAAGCACTTTACAACATAATCAGTCATTCACTCGTTCACACGCTGGTGGGGATGAGCTATGATGTAGCCACAGCTGCCAACTAGGACTTATAAGCTAGCCCTGCCTCAAGCTCAGTACAGGATGAAAGGCTTTTAAGTCTACCCTGCGGGCTCCTGGAGCCCAGATCAGCATCAGACCCAGCTCAGAACCGCCCGCCTTGAGCTCCAGACGGGCGTCTCACGCTCTCGATGTCTAAAGCGCTAAGCTGAGCAGGTATTAACGAGCATGAAACAGCTGACAGACGCTCATTATAATTAGTTATTGTCAAGTATTTACATTAACTGACCGATACTATTTTAAATGTCTGGTACATGATAATCTGTACAATACTGTGATGTTAGCGCAGGAGTTTAAGCTAGCTAGCATCGTTCACTCACCGAGACGCCTGCTCCTCCACAGAAACCTCTGACACCACAGCTGGCATCGTTTCTGCGTCTGGTGTGCCTCTACTCTCCGGGGCGAGCAGCAGGCTCATACGGTTCTGGTCCATCAGCAGTAGAATTAGAACCACGGGTTGTTCCTGGCTCACACTGAGGCAGAGGTGGTACCTTCCTGACCGTGCACCAGCGCATGCACACTCTGTGCATTCAACTGTCTCACCTTTTTAAAGGCTAAATATTATAAAAGGCTCAATAACATGCATCAGATTAGTGTTTAGTTCCCTTTTCCATCTGATATTTATAGTTAATATATTTAAATATTTGACCTTCAGTAACATTTTAGGTTTGTATTAATAACACTCATCTTAGTCACAATAACACATAAATACATCCAGTAAAATATAATGCATTTCAATAACATGCATTTGTGTTGGAAATGCTAATAACATGTAATCTCTGCTGCTAACAATGTAACGGTGGCATGTCTATATGTACGGGTTAGGGTTGGGGGGGGGTTCTGTTTTGCCTTGGCCCCCAGAATGCCTTGAGACGGCCCTGGCTGTGTGAGTGAGTGTATCAGACGTATAAATATTACACGTGTATAACTTGTTGTTTTATACAGGTAGAAACGTGTAGTGGAGATAAATCTACCCACATTTAGTTTCCTGTCCTGTCTGTCTCTCATCATCCTGCATCTCCTCTAAACTCTCCAGAAAATCTGCTGCCTGGATTCTTACTTTTTCACCTCATCAGTAACTTCTGAGCAGATCAAAGGGATCTCCTGACCGCAAAGCGGAGCGCGTTTCGATGCTGCGTCAGTGAGGTGGAGTCACCGCGGCACACGATGAGCGGAGCGTCAGGAACGATTAAACGACAGTAACAGAGGATACAAACACATATGAACGATCATGTGTTAATAATAATGTTTTGTTGCATCACCTTGAGAATGTATCGTGCGCCGGACGCAGCGGGCGCACCAACGATCAGCGCTCTGCGTCCACTCCGCTCAACAGAACGCCGCTACGCTGAGAGTCCATAAATATTGTAATATAGGCAGAAACTGGATCTTTCCCTGAAATATACCTAGCCCTCATAACTCGATCCCTGCTCCTGGATGAAAAACCAGACATTTTGATCCATGTAGGAACCCCCCCGGACGCCCCGGACAGAGAGTGGAAAGTGGACATGTCCTGGTGAAAGAGGACGTAAGGTCAGCCTACAACAGCACCGACCATATATGTACCAACTAGCGAGAAAAGCTATTTTTGATCTTTTTCTGCTGCGGTTTTTGTGCTTTTCAGTGCACCACTGCTGATACAGCGCCCTGTTGTGGCATAACGCTGCAACTGCAGTTAAAATAACATCCATATAGCTGGAGGCAGAGTGAATTCAGGCTGGGGCGGCGCTACATTAGCTGGAGACGTCCGCCACGCTAATCTAGACGCAGGAAAGTCCCTGTATAAACATTTAAAGTTTCCTGTGTGTCAGAACCGGCATTAGAATCCATGTTTTCCTCTGGATCAAGCTAACAGGACTCCCTCTGGCTACGTCACTTCCGGTTTGGCAGGAAAAAAAAATATATATATATATTTTTTATATATAAAATATATATATATATTTATATATATATATTTTATATATATATAAATATATATATATATTTATATATATATATATTTTATATATATTTATATATATATTTTTATATATTTTTTATATAAATATATATATATATATATATATATATATATATATATATATATATATATATATTCACAAAAATGATTCCCAAAGTCTAAGTAATTCATGTGAAAATTGTTATTTCTTGTTAAGTTTCTATAAACGTTGGTTTAAGGCATTCTCTAACCTGCAGTATGCTCTTTAAAAGTGTTCCCACCTTGAAGGGTGAGGGTAGCAGAAGGAGCTCTGCTAGGATTTGGGAACATTTGTGGAGCGACAGACTAGAAAGTTTTCTTTGTTCCGGGAAAAAACCCAGGGAATTCCTTCACATGCTGCGGACATAGCATGACCAAATATGGTTAATTGAGGGCGTTCCTGCATGTAAATGACTGAGAACGCACACGAGCACCTGGGTACGCACAGGTGGGATTTATCATCAGACGACTGCGGAGGAATACGTGCACGAGTGGCCACCGCGTGGTTCATAAATCGGGATTTTGACCATTTGTACATACACACACTCTGAATTTCATTCATAGGAAGGAATATTGGAATATTTCTACGAACGTTTGATGAATGAGGGCCCTGGACCTGAGAACTAGGGCAGGGAGCGGGAAAACCTCCATAGAGCGATCCATCTGAGGCGCACTGTCCCTGGGATAACGTCTCCTGATCACCCAGCAAATTCCTTTGGTTTTGATGTTCCTCTACACACACACACACACACACACACACACAAACACGCACGCACGCACGCACGCACACACACAGCTTTTACTGTTACCTGATGTTAAGGCGGTAGTAAATAATAATAATTCAGCTAAATAATAACGAATAGGTTTGTAGTCACAGGAGTGTGCATTGTGCTGACTGCAGTTCCTCTAACGACCACATGGCGCGCTCTCTGTACTTTTAAGTGTTTCTTGTTAATCTGAGGAGATTTTGACCTGATTTTACTGACATAAAATGATCCTGTAATCTAACAGATTATCTTCGTGTGGTTAAAGGTGCTTGTGAGGTTCTTCACCTCTGAGATCTTTGGCTTTAAACTTTGACCTCTGAGGCTCCTCCCCTTTTCTATCCACAGGTGCAACACCTGGAAGCTGCGGCTCCGTTCCCTGACTCCGATGATGACACTCTCTACGTGAAGCTCTCCTGGGACTTGAAGACCTTCAGGGTGTTGGATCCAGCTCTGATGGCGTCTCCTCGCCATGCTAATTCCTCCCTCCCCCCCTCACCCCCATGCTCACCGCCAGCCGCCACCCCCGTCTCCCGAGCCCCGCCCACCCCGGATCCCGCTGTCATGAGTAGAGACACGTCAAGGAGCGTGAGGTCCAGGCGAGCCCCAGCCAGCACTGGTGGAACTGCCGCCTTGGAGGCGGAGCCTCTTCAGCTAGAGGCCAAACTGTCTGCTTCCAAATGTCTCAGTGCCACGAGGAGGACAGCGGCGGCGAGGACACCGGGCGTCCGCAAGAGGCTGCAGCTCCTCGGTGAGTCGGTTAGAAAAGAGACTCAAACAGGAAGTGAAACAGCTGAAACGTCTTCGTCTCTGCAGGTCCAGAGAAGTCCACCCTGGTCAGAGAGGACGTCCTGAACCCGCTGTTGGACGAAGAGCTGGAGCTGGAGGGGACGCCGGCTAAGCACCTGCCCTCCTCTCCCCCCCTCTCCCTCACCTCCCTCAGAAGGAACGACAGAACCGTCGCCCCTCTGGACGCCATTGGTCTGACACCGTCCTCTGTCCCCATCATCAAAATGTCCCTCATGAACACCAGGTCAGAGTTCACACACACCCTTGTCAACACTAGAGGAGCACCGGCTCTACTCTGAGCCCCTCCCTTTTGAGCCGGGCGTACATGTGTGATTTTTGACTCATTTTGAGCCAAACATCAGTTTACTCTCCTTCCTCATCCAACCCCCATAGCGAGCCCAAGTCTCCTTCCCTCCCGGTCGGCTCATGGGTCCCGGAAGAACTAAAACATGAGTCAACGGGACTAAAAACGCTATTTCCTAACCCGCTCTGCCGTACGCCCTGGATCACACGTGTAGTACTTATGTTTACATGAAAACTAATGATGGGTGTTTCGACCACGCCAGCCACGTACTTTGAGATTTACCAGCTTGTAAAAGTTCATAATTAGCATGACTACACAGCAGAAATCAGCACGGTGCATATGTGACGTCACCACATAAGCTCCTCCCCCCTAGCGTAGCTGCTACTCACCACATGACCAGGTTCATGGTGGTTCTTTCCTCCAGTGGGAAGTTTGCTGAACTTACAGCCCTTCTCCCTCTGTTTCCTCCGTGTCTGGTTCGATGACGTCACTTTGCTGAAGCGCGTTTGTAGTCCTGGACTCATTTTCACACAACACCTAAACTATCGTTCCCCCCGTTAGAAAATAAGCGCGTTCTTGATATCCAAATTTGTCTTTAAAATTCACGTACATCATATGTGAAGTGAAGGTCACATTTATTTCTAAAGCACACTTATTATTGCTTCCACAACCCAAAGTGCTGTACAACACCGAAGATAAAATCACAAACAAGTACAACTAAATATCATAAAACCATAAAAATTAGGACAAAAACAGCATTACATCACACGATTATAAAATCAATAAAAAACGAGAAAGAATGACGATGACAAATAAAATCATCCTACATAAAAGCCAGGTTGAATAAATGAGTTTTAAGCAAGGACTTAAAGACATCCAGACTCTGTGAGGTCCTGATCTGCAGAGGAAGGCTGTTCCAGAGTGTAGGACCGGCCAGAGGAAAAGCCCCATCTCCTCTCGTCTTTAGGCGAACCCGACCACAAACTCCCGGCAGGAGTGTAGGGTGACAATAAATCATCTATATAAGGAGGGGCCAGGCCATAAAGTGATTTATAAACAAAAAGCAACTATTTAAACTGAATCCTGTGATGCACCGGCAGCCAGTGAAGGGAAGCAAGCACTGGAGAGATGTGATCATGCTTCCTCGTAGCTGTTAAAAGGCGGGCTGCTGCACTTTCAACCAGTTGCAAGCGGTTTAAGGACGAATGTCCTAATCCATAGTACAGGGAACTGCAGTAATCTAGTCGACAGGAGACAAAGAGATGAACAACATGTTCAAAGACAGTTTCCGGCAAATAGCACTTAACCTTTGGAAGTTGCCTCAAGTGATAAAAACCGGACTGGACCAGGACCACTGCACTTATCTGTCTGTCCAATTTAAACGAACCATCCATAAAAAAACAGGTTTTTCACGTAAGGCTTTACAAAATCCAAAAGGGAACCAAGTGGGCTCACCGCACCCTTCAACAGGTCTCCACTGCCAAAAACTAGAATCTCTGTCTTCAGGTCGTTCAATTTCATAAAAGTAATCGACATCCATTGCTTCAAATCAGCTAAGCAGGCCATCCGGGATGAGTGGGAGATATATCTGAAGGTCATCAGCAAAGAAATGAAAAGTAATGTTGTGTCTGGCGAAGATGGAGGACAATGGTAAAATATACAGTGAGAAAAGTGTTGGCCCTAAAATGGAGCCTTGTGGAACACCACAAGTCACAGGTGCTGTCGGTGATGTAAAAGTTCCCGAGTTCCCAGAAAAGGGCCTGTCCTGTAGATGAGACTGAAACCAATCAAGCACCGTCCAAGTCCATGGTACAAAACAAGCAGAGAGAAAATAGTATTTTTAGCCCCGTTGACTTGCGTTCATTTCATCGTTCTTCCGGGGCCCCGTGGTCCAGAAGTAGGTGGGCGTGGCTTAGGCCCCTAAGCCCCTGTGTGTCCTCTTACAGCTACGGCAAGCCTGAAGGGCATCGGTAACAACACGACAGTCTCTGGTTTTGCAGGTTTTTGGATATGAAGGTCAGACGTGTTGCGACCACATGTTCAGTGCGAGACCAGGACACGCGAGCTTTGCTCCGCGAGGAAGTCGTTACAGTTCTAGATGGAGCTAAACGCTACGACAAAAAAGGCCACGATGTTGTTTGATGTTGTGGTGAAACGGAAACGATTCTGACGTCCCCCTCTCCTGTCCTCCAGCAGAGCCACCGCTCCTTCTAGACGCAAAGAATCAGAACCCGTGACGGAGCCGTCCCTCGGTGTTCTGTGAGTAGCAGCTCTTCCAGATATGGGACGTGGACGGAGGGTTCTGGAGCCAAGGCCTGGTTCTGGGTCGTCAGCTGTAACGTTTGTGTCCACAGGGCCGAGGAGGAGGACGAAAACGCCCCAAAGCTGCAGGCTGGCGCCGCACCGAGGAGCTCCAGGAGGAAGTCGGTAGTGAAAGTTTTGTCTCGCATCAGGAAGCAGCTGTGAGTGACCTTTAACCTTCAGCTGGAGCTCTGCTGTGAGGCGTTACCATAGCAACAAACCAGGTGACTAAAACCATTCCTTGGTGTGGGACCGGTACCTCCTCCCTCCAGGAGCTTTCTGAACGACCAGCTGGACCCGAACTCTGATGGGGACGATGAAGACGAGTTTGTTCCATCCAGGAAGGAGCTGCAGACCACCGAGGAAGAGGAGGAGGAGGAGGAGGAGCTGGACAGTGATGAAGAGGTTGTGGTGAAGAAGAGCCGCGGCTCGGCGGCTCTCACTCCTCGACCGAAGCAGAAAACCAACTCCACGACCCGAACGCCGAAGAAGACTCCGAGGAAGGTGAGTGTCGTCATGGTAACGACAGCATTGGGAAGTGTGGCGGGAGCGTTATGACCCGGTTTGTGGCGTCTCAGCAGGCTGCTCCGAGCACGCCACGGACCCCTCGTACCGCCACGCCCATCATCCCCAGCAGGTCGCTGCCGGCCCGACGACCCGCCAACATCCTGGAGGAGGCCAGAATCAGGTCAGTACCACCAAAGGACCGGGCCCAGGGAGGCAGAACCCCTCTCTAATGTTTCTGACATCAGCTGATGGTTCGCGATCATGAACAGAATAAGACGTGACGTTGGTCTCCAGCGCCTCTGAAATCACGTGAAGTCGGAGCTGCTGCTCCTCGGTTGAAACCACGACGGCGTGTTGACGTCGACTAACGGATGAAGCTAAGAGGGCGGAGTCAGATATTTACGCTGAAGGTGAACGTGTCTTCGGTTAGCTCTGAAACGAACGTTTCACTTCACAAATTCAGATTTTTAATCTGCCGTTCTGAACTTCATCAGCTTTTCTTCTTTAACGGGATTAAAAGACCCCGCTTGTCTTCTGTCCTCTAGTGGACAATCTGAGTACTGCAGGTGGACGTTTTCATCAGTTTTAGAATTGCATAATCGTTGCTATAGCAACAGCTAACGATGCTTTTTTAGTAATATTTCATGGATCCAGGTTAAACGGTGATAAGTACAAATTTTCTCGACTAAAATGTGTTTTTATTTTAAGGGAAAAAGCCAATTGCTGAATTATTATGATTAATTATAAATATTAAAGGTAATAAGAAAATAAAGTTGTACATGTAGAAAGTGCTGGTGACCTCAAACACCACAGGCTTTTGTTGTTTGTTTACGTTGGTAAACAAAACGATGCTAAACCCTTCATGAAACCTTATTTGTTCAGTAGAAGCAACGACGTCCGCGTTAGTGTTCCCGGGAGACGTCGGGATTGACCCGGCTGCAGGTTAAACAGCAGGAAAACCCTTCTGGGCTGCCAATAAATGAGAAAATAGAAACCAGTAGAGTCACGACAGTTTATTATAAATCAGGCTAAAAGGTTTAGAAACCTGAACCTTCCTTTTATTTTGGTAAATCCTTATTTTTATAAAACAAAAACGTGGTTCTGAAATGAGCAAAAATGGGACAGAGTCGTTGTTTTGCAAGTCGAGTCAAGTCTAACGCTTCATCACAAGCTCCAAAACACGGAAACGGGACCTCTAAAGTATAATTTCACAGAACAAACCCGTGAAAATGCACGGGTGCAGACAGAACTACGGCCGTAAACTCATTTATATCTTCTCCATCTGGACCATGAACATGTTTGTACGAGTCTGTGTGCGAGTCATACTGCTTCATCCGCACTAGGGTCTCAGTGACCTGGTGACTACCTCCCGCAGTCCCCAGGTGAGGGGCGGGGCTACACCTGGACAGGTCACCAGTCATCTCCGGGACACTCGGAGATAAACATTCACACACCATTAGCGGTGGGCACATTTTAAATACTAGATGTTTAAAACTTGTCTGCATACGGAGGAAATATCTAGTCTTTTCAAGTAAACGGGGTCAAGTCAAAGTTCGAGTGTTTGGATGTTTTTTCAACTCGAGTTTAAAGTCATCAAATGAATAACTTGAGTCCAAGTCCACATTTCTGGACATCAGGCACGTGAACTTGAATGAAAAGCTGTTTTCCTTTGTTGTTTTAATACATTTGAGAATTTGTTTTATAGAATTTATTGATCCATTTTTGCCTTTTCTGTGTTTTGTAACGTGACCCGATAACGGCCCACCAGGCTCCACGTGTCCTCGGTGCCCGAGTCGCTGCCCTGCAGGGAGCAGGAGTTCCAGGACATCTACAGCTTCGTGGAGAGCAAGATCCTGGACGGCACGGGGGGGTGAGGACCAGATGAAATACCGTCGATGTGCTGTTGCGGCTAGCGCCGGTTTGGCTAACGCTAGGGCGGCTAACGCAGGTTGTTTGCCTCGGCGTGTCCAAACGCTGTCTTCACTTTCCAGAGCACCGACAGTGGCGCGGCTTCCATTAAACACTTTTCACAGGTTCAAGGTTCAGATGAGTAAAAACCAATAAAACTGAGTAAAAGCACAATAAAGAGCAAGAGATCCCCGTACCAAATGTCAGAAACTGCAGCAGGCTGGAGGCTTTTCTCGCCACCTCAGTCACCAAGGAGAGGAAGGAAGAGGCGAGCAGCTCCGAGCCGCATCGTTTCATTCCGGCTCGTGACTGGCCGAGCCGGCTGGAGGCGTGGCCGAAGCTCGGCTGCAGATCAGAGCGGCCACATTAACCGGTATAGAAAATGTCACAGGGTCCCTCTGAGCCGTAGCTGTAGCTGAGTCAAGTTCAGTGCAGAGCAGAGGTTTAACCCGCAGAGGGGGAAAGGATCGTTTTATGGTAGATTTTTTAAACGAGGTGCTCTAAAAAGCCAAAACCACGCCGCCACATGTCTACAGCGCTGTTAGCCCCTCGGTTACCGGAGGATCTTTGCTGACAGGTTTTTTTCTCTTATGCGCGAGTGCCAAAAACAAGCTGCCATCAATGCACGTCGTACACTTTTAGGAGAGTTCACGGACAAAATCCCCGATAAATGAACCACTTAGAGAAGCTCAAAATCTGTATGGAAGAGAAAATGAAAGTTGTTAAAAGCCCGTGTGAGCGCTGGGATGACGGAAGTCATCGGTCTGATTCGCAGGTGTTTTTTAACGAATCTGCTGGGGAGACCGTTATTCCTGTTCAGCAGAAAGACCCGGACCGTTGTCTGGAGGCCTGCGATTGTTCTGTTTTAGGGAAGTTGAGCTGATCTCTTCTGAAAACGAAAGCCGTGGTCGTGCTAACAGCAGCAGTTAGCTCCAGCGCGCAGAGCCACAGCGTTGTGGGTCACCTGTGGGCGATGAGTCCTCACAGCGACTGCAGAGCCGGGTTAGGCGTCATTAATCTGTGGACTGGGACTAACCATGGACTAAATGAGCCTTACAAAGTGCTGCTACTACAGGAGTTCAAACTTTCTTCAGGGAGTCCGCGGGCTTCCTGTCATCGCTTTCTAATTTTGCGGTCATTTATGGAGGAAATTCCAATAAAACGTTTCATCAAGCCTCCCACGGGCTGAGCTACCAACCACACAGCAAGACCCGTCCATCTGCTCGGCTGAATCCTCCAAACAGCCCGTTTATAGGCAGAGTTGGTGGTTTCCTGCCACACACTCCCATGATGCAACGCTGACGTCACTAAAGATCCTCCTACAGAGCTGATCAGCAAAAACGTACTTTTAGGGTGACTCGCTCTTCGGAGGAGAGGAAATGTGACATTTAAAGGTGTCCCGTAATAAAACCCAGCAGACGCTCGTCGGCCTGTTGTCCGTTTATTTCCCAGACAGGTGACCAGCTCTGTGATCGTTTAGTCTGACTTTTTACAAAAACTGTCAGAAATGTATTTGTTTATATTTCCGGTGGATAAAAGCTTTTTGATCCACACAACATAAAAACTGAAAGATATCAAATATCTGAAAAGTAAACAAACAAAATAAAAACAGTAATAATAATAATAAATTTGATTTAAAAGCGCCTTTCAGGACACCCAAGGTCACCTGACAGGAAAATACAATTAGTAAAATACATTAAAACGACAATAAAACACAATGAAGAAAAGAACATAGAAAAATAAACAATTCAAATAAAATCAGAGGTCATAGGCAGATTTGAACAGGTTTCTGATGTCTGGGGGGAGTGAGTTCCAGAGATGGGGAGCAGAGCTTTCAGCTGCTCTGCTCCCCGTGGTAGTGAGACGGGCAGAAGGAACAGCAAGATGGAGGGAGGAAGACAATCTGAGGAAACGGGAGGGGGTGGTGAAACTTATAAGGCCTGAAATAAATGGAGGAGAGAGGTTGTGGATGGCTTTGAAGGTGTGGAGGAGAATCTTGAAGATGGGCCTGAATATAACGGGGAGCCAGTGAAGCTGCTGGAGAACCGGGGTGATGTGGTGAAAGTAAGGTGTTCTGGTGATGATACGGGCTGCTGAGATCTGGACCAGTTGAAGCTTATGAAGGAGTTTGTAGGGGAGACCAAAAAGAAGTGAACTGCAGTAATCGAGACGGGAGGTGGCGAGACTGTGGACAAGAATGGCGGCAGTGTGAGGGGTAAGGGAGGGGCGGAGACGGCTTATGGATCGAAGTTGGAAGTAGGCAGACCGAGTTATGTTATTGGTGTGAGCTGTCGAGGATGACGTCCAGACTTAACCTGAGGGGAGGGGGCGCTGACAATAAAGCAAAGCTGTCAGACTTGGAGATGGTGGATTTGGTACCAACAAGAAGAAGTTTTGATTTATTGCCGTTGAGTTTGAGGAAATTAGAGGTGAACCAAGATTTGATTTCTGAGAGGCAGAGGGTAAGGGAGGAGGGTGGGAGAGTGGAGTTATGTTTACTGGAAACGTAGAGCTGGGTGTCATCCGCGAAGCCGTGAAACTGGATACTAAATTTGCAGAAGATATTGCCAAGAGGGAGGAGATAGATTCTGAAGAGGAAGGGCCCCAGGACAGAGCCCTGGGGCACACCTGACTTGACTGGGGAGGGTTTTGAGGAGAAGGATTTTAACTGGATAAACTAAGGTAAAAAAAAACGTATTACGGTTAGCTGAAAGTAAACCCTCTCCAAACAAAAGTAACTAAGCCACACTGGCAGCTACAGACACGTTCCTACACGGGGACCGTGTCTCTTCCGGTGGATAGTCCCCATCCCGTCGGGCTTTAAGCACATCTTCCCACCTCCTCCTTGAACGTGGGTACAACAGAAGGAACGTGTTCGTTAACTCTGGCCATGCACTGACCGCCAGAATGCACCAAGTACCTTTTTAGATACAACCGGGAAAACAAACCCACAGGTCCTTGTTGGGTAATTTTATCAATCCAGGATTACCTCAGAGAAAGCTCAGAGCACCGGGGGTTATAGTCATCCATTTATTAACACCAATACCAATAATCAATTATCAACAATCAATTTAGACTTTGCAAAGTGGAGAGGAAATGAATGCACACCACAAAACGGGTCTCGGTTCACTCTCCTCAGACAGAGTCCTCCGAAAGTATTTATGAAGCACACACACACAAAAGACTGACACACACACACATTTCGAGACTCTCGGGCAGGAAGCTGTAAAAGACACACCAGGTGCATCAACACAGCCGTCTGGACTTTCTCAAGGGAGTTTTACTGATAAGAGGTCGGTACCAAGGCGAGGTCCATCCTCCCTGTAAGACCTACAAGAGCCTGTTCTTAAAACACCAGATGTTAAACAGTCAGGGCATTAATGAAGTTAATATCAGTTTTTACCCATCAGTCCTGTTGTAAACAACATCAAGAGGATGGAGACGTAATGTGTCCCGTCCGGCTGTGAAGAAAGCGGAGTCGTCGTCCGAAGACGAGCCTCGAGTTTCCTTCTCTCTGCTGCGGTTCCTAGCTGGGATGCCGCTCCGGACACCAAAACTTCATTAGGAATATTTTCAGACACGCAGACAGAAGTGTAAGAGGGGGAGGGGCGTTCACAAAAATAAACAATAAATAAATAAATACATCTGCATAATCTCAGACGGGAAATAAAAGGTGTTATCTATGTAAACCTCACTTTACATCAGAACAATCCATAAAGAGCTTTAGTTGATAAGTGGCCTCATTAGTGATCGATTGGTTGTGAGTTTTAGCTGATAGACCAGACTCCGAGGTGTTCGACTTCATCAACACTATTTACTCTCAGGAGGAGTCTTTAAAGATCCGCTGGAAGCTGAAGCAGACGTGTCTCTGGAAAGGTACCGAGTAGGTCCGGCCAGGTGTCAGTCAGATCAAAGGCAGTCATAAAAATCATCATCAGCACGAGCAGAGGCATCACCAGGGGGCGCTCTGGCGCCGCATCAGCCCGCTGCTAACCGTCTCGCCTCTGCTCCAGGTGCATGTACATCTCAGGGGTTCCGGGAACGGGTAAGACGGCCACGGTGCACGAGGTGATGCGCTGCCTGCAGAACGCGGCTGACATGGACGCGATCCCTCCGTTCTGCTTCGTGGAGGTAAACGGGATGAAGATGACGGATCCTCATCAGGCGTACGTTCAGGTCTTGCAGGTGAGGTTGCAGCTCGCTCGCCGCTGTGCGGCCGTTAGGGGTGGGAGCTACTTTCATGTCGGGGAGGCTGCTCCTGGTGCATTATGGGTACTGTAGCACGTCGAGATTCCTGTTTTATTCTGCTGCCTCCACCCGGTTCTGACTGGGTCCGATCCAGGATCATGGAGACGTTCATTCATTGATCAGGAAGGATCGGGTCAGAACCAGAGCCTGGATCAGAGCCACTAAGCCAACATCTAGAAGCCTCTTGTCTGTGCAGAAGCTGACGGGTCAGAGAGCCACAGCCAATCACGCTGCAGCGCTGCTGGAGAAACGCTTCAGCAGCGCGGCGCCGAGGAAGGAGACGACCGTTCTGCTGGTGGACGAGGTAAGACCTCACCTGGAAGTCCTCGCCAGCGTCCAGGAGAGACGTTGATAACCAAACGTCTCTCCTGGAGCTTCCAGAGACCTGCCTGGGTGGGACAGCTGTAGCTCAGGAGGAAGAGTAATCGTAAGGTTGCAGGTTTGATCCCGGCTCTGACCATAGATGCTGTTGAGCAAGGCACTCAGCCCCCCTCGCCTGCTGGTGGTGGTCGGAGGGACCGGTGGCGCCTGTGCTCGGCAGCCTCGCTTCTGTCAGCGCCCCAGGGCAGCTGCAGCTACATCGTAGCTCATCACCACCAAGGTGTGAGTGGGTGAATGACTGACTGTGTTGTAAAGCGCCTTGGGGGGTTGTGGAACCCTAAGAAGGTGCTGTACAGGTACATGCCATTCACCTCTGATTAGATAAAATAAAAACCTTAATTTACACTCGCTGGCCACTTCATTAGGTACAGAACAGAGCTGCAGGAGCTATGGATGTTTGGTGTTTCGTACCGAATCGATGTTAAAAGCAGCATACTGATTTTTTTTAGAATTGACTCTCAAACATGTAGTCCTGCCTGTGAACTTCATCTCTCCACGTGCCCCGCCCCCATGGAGGGCAGCGGTGAGCTGCAGCGCCGGCTGCGCTCGGGAACCGTTTGGTGGTTTAACCCCCCAGTCCAACCCTCTAAAGCCGAGTCAACCAGGGAGGCGATGGTATGACCCCGCTCTCCCAGTCCCAGGGCGGACACCCTCCCACTAGGCCACTGGTGTGCGTCGTGTAGACTCCTAGCTGTGTTTCCATCCTCCATCCTAGAGAACGTAATCGTTCTAACGCCACAACAGTTCCACACGAGCTTTTCTTGTGTCCCCGTGTTACACAGCTGGCTTTACCTCGTGATGGGGCGGTAACCGTCTGAAAATTAGGATAAATAAGAAAATAAAACCATGAAACGAATAAAAACCCTTATTTTCCTGAGGTAAGTGGAGCTTTTGCTGTTGTCTCTAGGAACGGAGCGCAGTAATGTTCCCACTTTGAGACGGATAAAGTTGTAAGTTCAACACTCGTTAAATAATAAAAATAATCCACTCCTTCGAAGTTCCCTTGACTAGAACGTTCCTTAAATCCATGAATGTGTTCAAGACTCCTGTATGAAGCCGCTCTCATCCCTCCTGCACGTCTGCTCTCCTGCAGCTGGACCTTCTGTGGACGAGGAAGCAGAACGTGATGTACAACCTGTTCGACTGGCCGACGCGCCGCCACGCCCGCCTGGTGGTTCTGACCATCGCCAACACCATGGACCTGCCTGAGAGAATCATGATCAACAGGGTGGCCAGCAGGCTGGTGAGACAGTGACTGAGTCGCATCATTCCTCTGGGCTCTGTTAGTAATGTCTGTTTGAGATCTGAACAAAGAAAATAACCGATAAATAAAACCAGTTTGTGTCGACGACCGAATCAGGAGCCCAGGCCCGTTCCAGCGATAGCACGGTGTAGACGGCGCCGAGCTGTGGTTCTGGTGTTCTAGGCTCTGACCCGTGTGGTTCTGGTGGTGTTCTAGGCTCTGACCCGTGTGGTTCTGGTGTTCTAGGGCCTGACCCGTGTGGTTCTGGTGGTGTTCTAGGGTCTGACCCGTGTGGTTCTGGTGTTCTAGGCTCTGACCCGTGTGGTTCTGGTGGTGTTCTACGGTCTGACCTGTGTGGTTCTGGTGTTCTAGGCTCTGACCCATGTGGTTCTGGTGTTCTAGGGTCTGACCCGTGTGGTTCTGGTGGTGTTCTAGGGTCTGACCCGTGTGGTTCTGGTGTTCTAGGGTCTGACCCGTGTGGTTCTGGTGTTCTAGGCTCTGACCCATATGGTTCTGGTGGTGTTCTAGGCTATCACCCGTATGGTTCTGGTGTTCTAGGTTCTGACCCGTGTGGTTCTGGTGGTGTTCTAGGTTCTGACCCGTGTGGTTCTGGTGTTCTAGGGCCTGACCCGTGTGGTTCTGGTGTTCTAGGCTCTGACCCGTGTGGTTCTGGTGTTCTAGGCTCTGACCCGTGTGGTTCTGGTGGTGTTCTAGGGTCTGACCTGTGTGGTTCTGGTGTTCTAGGCTCTGACCCGTGTGGTTCTGGTGGTGTTCTAGGCTCTGACCCGTGTGGTTCTGGTGTTCTAGGGTCTGACCCGTGTGGTTCTGGTGTTCTAGGCTCTGACCCATATGGTTCTGGTGGTGTTCTAGGCTATCACCCGTATGGTTCTGGTGTTCTAGGTTCTGACCCGTGTGGTTCTGGTGGTGTTCTAGGTTCTGACCCGTGTGGTTCTGGTGTTCTAGGGCCTGACCCGTGTGGTTCTGGTGTTCTAGGCTCTGACCCGTGTGGTTCTGGTGTTCTAGGCTCTGACCCGTGTGGTTCTGGTGGTGTTCTAGGGTCTGACCTGTGTGGTTCTGGTGTTCTAGGCTCTGACCCGTGTGGTTCTGGTGGTGTTCTAGGCTCTGACCCGTGTGGTTCTGGTGTTCTAGGGCCTGACCCGTGTGGTTCTGGTGGTGTTCTAGGGTCTGACCCGTGTGGTTCTGGTGTTCTAGGGTCTGACCCGTGTGGTTCTGGTGTTCTAGGCTCTGACCCATATGGTTCTGGTGGTGTTCTAGGCTCTGACCCGTATGGTTCTGGTGTTCTAGGTTCTGACCCGTGTGGTTCTGGTGGTGTTCTAGGCTCTGACCCGTGTGGTTCTGGTGTTCTAGGCTCTGACCCGTGTGGTTCTGGTGGTGTTCTGGTGTTCTAGGCTCTGACCCGTGTGGTTCTGTTGTTCTAGGCTCTGACCCGTGTGGTTCTGGTGGTGTTCTAGGCTCTGACCTGTGTGGTTCTGGTGGTGTTCTAGGGTCTGACCCGTGTGGTTCTGGTGGTGTTCTAGGGTCTGACCCGTGTGGTTCTGGTGGTGTTCTAGGGTCTGACCCGTGTGGTTCTGGTGGTGTTCTAGGGTCTGACCCGTGTGGTTCTGGTGGTGTTCTAGGGTCTGACCCGTGTGGTTCTGGTGTTCTAGGGTCTGACCCGTGTGGTTCTGGTGTTCTAGGGTCTGACCCGTGTGGTTCTGGTGATGTTCTAGGCTCTGACCTGTGTGGTTCTGGTGTTCTAGGCTCTGACCTGTGTGGTTCTGGTGTTCTAGGGTCTGACCCGTGTGGTTCTGGTGTTCTAGGCTCTGACCCGTGTGGTTCTGGTGTTCTAGGCTCTGACCCGTGTGGTTCTGGTGTTCTAGGCTCTGACCCGTGTGGTTCTGGTGTTCTAGGCTCTGACCCGTGTGGTTCTGGTGTTCTAGGCTCTGACCCGTGTGGTTCTGGTGTTCTAGGCTCTGACCTGTGTGGTTCTGGTGTTCTAGGCTCTGACCCGTGTGGTTCTGGTGTTCTAGGCTCTGACCCGTGTGGTTCTGGTGTTCTAGGGTCTGACCCGTGTGGTTCTGTTGTTCTAGGCTCTGACCCGTGTGGTTCTGGTGGTGTTCTAGGCTCTGACCTGTGTGGTTCTGGTGGTGTTCTAGGGTCTGACCCGTGTGGTTCTGGTGGTGTTCTAGGTTCTGACCCGTGTGGTTCTGGTGGTGTTCTAGGGTCTGACCCGTGTGGTTCTGGTGGTGTTCTAGGGTCTGACCCGTGTGGTTCTGGTGTTCTAGGCTCTGACCCGTGTGGTTCTGGTGTTCTAGGCTCTGACCCGTGTGGTTCTGGTGTTCTAGGCTCTGACCCGTGTGGTTCTGGTGTTCTAGGCTCTGACCCGTGTGGTTCTGGTGTTCTAGGCTCTGACCTGTGTGGTTCTGGTGTTCTAGGCTCTGACCTGTGTGGTTCTGGTGTTCTAGGCTCTGACCCGTGTGGTTCTGGTGTTCTAGGCTCTGACCCGTGTGGTTCTGGTGTTCTAGGCTCTGACCCGTGTGGTTCTGTTGTTCTAGGCTCTGACCCGTGTGGTTCTGGTGGTGTTCTAGGCTCTGACCCGTGTGGTTCTGGTGGTGTTCTAGGGTCTGACCCGTGTGGTTCTGGTGGTGTTCTAGGTTCTGACCCGTGTGGTTCTGGTGGTGTTCTAGGGTCTGACCCGTGTGGTTCTGGTGGTGTTCTAGGGTCTGACCCGTGTGGTTCTGGTGTTCTAGGCTCTGACCCGTGTGGTTCTGGTGTTCTAGGGTCTGACCCGTGTGGTTCTGGTGTTCTAGGCTCTGACCCGTGTGGTTCTGGTGTTCTAGGCTCTGACCCGTGTGGTTCTGGTGTTCTAGGCTCTGACCCGTGTGGTTCTGGTGTTCTAGGCTCTGACCCGTGTGGTTCTGGTGTTCTAGGGTCTGACCCGTGTGGTTCTGGTGTTCTAGGCTCTGACCCGTGTGGTTCTGGTGTTCTAGGGTCTGACCCGTGTGGTTCTGGTGTTCTAGGCTCTGACCTGTGTGGTTCTGGTGTTCTAGGCTCTGACCCGTGTGGTTCTGGTGTTCTAGGCTCTGACCTGTGTGGTTCTGGTGTTCTAGGCTCTGACCTGTGTGGTTCTGGTGTTCTAGGCTCTGACCCGTGTGGTTCTGGTGTTCTAGGGTCTGACCCGGATGTCCTTCCAGCCGTACTCCTTCAAGCAGCTGCAGCAGATCATCACATCTCGGCTGAACAAGGTGAAGGCCTTCGAGGAGGACGCTCTGCAGCTGGTGTCCAGGAAGGTAAGCTCCGCCCCCTCATCTTCCCTGAGCTCACCTGCATCTCGCTCAGCGTCCCTCTCCTCCTGCAGGTGGCGGCTCTGTCGGGCGACGCGCGGCGATGTTTGGACATCTGTCGGCGAGCGACGGAGATCTGTGAGCACTCGGCCGCCGACCCCTCTGCTTCAGGATTGGTGGGGATGGGTCACGTGATGGAGGCGCTGGAGGAGATGTTCTCTTCCTCTTACATCACTGCCATCAGGTGAGCTTCTCCGCTCGTGATTGGTTGATGAGATCTAGAGCAGAGTAACGGAGCGGTGTGTGGTTTCAGGTGTGCGTCGACGCAGGAGCAGCTCTTCCTCAGAGCAGTCATCGCAGAGTTCCGGAGGCAGGGATTGGAGGAGGCCACCTTCCAGCAGGTGAGACAGCGAGCACCTCTAGTGTGTGCTAGCCTGTTTGGACATCTGGGCTTCCGTAGCAGCTCTGCTGCAGATGAGATCAGAACCAGAATCCCGTTCTGTCTGAAGTCCGTGAAGTTTCAGGGTTTTCCCAGCATTTATAAATCCCTCCCCGCTCCCACGGTCCGGCCCGCCAGGCCCGCCAGGATTCTGGTGGGAACCCGAGTTTGTAGAAAAACATTAAAAGTTGTTTTCAACAGAATCAAGTTCAGCTCTTCTGGACGTGGAGGTGAAATATTTATTATTGTTCATGTTTGAATCATTAAGTTCTAATGATTATTTCTGATTTTAATGAGTAACACTGACTGTTTCACGCAGGCTGAACATGAAAATAGTCTCCTACACCTATCTCCTGCTTTAGCTTCTGATAGATAATAGTCTCCTACACCTATCTCCTGCATCCGCTTCTGATAGATAATAGTCTCCTACACCTATCTCCTGCATCAGCTTCTGATAGATAATAGTCTCCTACACCTATCTCCTGCATCCGCTTCTGATAGATAATAGTCTCCTACACCTATCTCCTGCATCAGCTTCTGATAGATAATAGTCTCCTACACCTATCTCCTGCAGTAGCTTCTGATAGATAATAGTCTCCTACACCTATCTCCTGCATCAGCTTCTGATAGATAATAGTCTCCTACACCTATCTCCTGCATCAGCTTCTGATAGATAATAGTCTCCTACACCTATCTCCTGCATCAGCTTCTGATAGATAATAGTCTCCTACACCTATCTCCTGCTGTAGCTTCTGATAGATAATAGTCTCCTACACCTATCTCCTGCATCAGCTTCTGATAGATAATAGTCTCCTACACCTATCTCCTGCATCAGCTTCTGATAGATAATAGTCTCCTACACCTATCTCCTGCAGTAGCTTCTGATAGATAATAGTCTCCTACACCTATCTCCTGCATCAGCTTCTGATAGATAATAGTCTCCTACACCTATCTCCTGCAGTAGCTTCTGATAGATAATAGTCTCCTACACCTATCTCCTGCAGTAGCTTCTGATAGATAATAGTCTCCTACACCTATCTCCTGCAGTAGCTTCTGATAGATAATAGTCTCCTACACCTATCTCCCGCATCAGCTTCTGATAGATAATAGTCTCCTACACCTATCTCCTGCATCAGCTTCTGATAGATAATAGTCTCCTACACCTATCTCCTGCATCAGCTTCTGATAGATAATAGTCTCCTACACCTATCTCCTGCAGTAGCTTCTGATAGATAATAGTCTCCTACACCTATCTCCTGCATCAGCTTCTGATAGATAATAGTCTCCTACACCTATCTCCTGCTTTAGCTTCTTATAGATAATAGTCTCCTACACCTATCTCCTGCAGTAGCTTCTGATAGATAATAGTCTCCTACACCTATCTCCTGCATCAGCTTCTGATAGATAATAGTCTCCTACACCTATCTCCTGCATCAGCTTCTGATAGATAATAGTCTCCTACACCTATCTCCTGCATCAGCTTCTGACAGATAATAGTCTCCTACACCTATCTCCTGCATCAGCTTCTGACAGAAAATAGACCGTGAAACTCTAGGATTAGAACATCGTGACAGATCTACGTCACTAACATTCATGGACTCACGACGGGGAAGGCTGTTGTTGGACACTGCAGACCCCTAACCCAGAACTCCTCCAGGCTTGTATTTGTGGAGGTAAAACATCGATGTAGCACCCTCAAGGATGGACGTAGGCACGATGTAGGTTATAAAACTGGGTTTATTCTTGTCTTGACAACCCGTGAGAACTTCTCACATAAGCAAACTACAGAAAAGTACTAGAATATTAGAATATTTTCTTTCACATGACATCAGTAAAGCTGCTAAATTACACAAACCTCGTGAGCCGACATCCATAAATAATCATTTACAGTCTTAGTGTCCTGTTTTCTTCTCGTTGCATTTTCTTTCTCTTACAAGTTTAACTAGTTAACGAGCAGCTGGACCAGGTGAGATCCGTGTGAGTGCGGCAGAGAAAAAGGGTCCGGTGGAACCAAAAACCAGAACAATTGTTCCCTCTGCAATTCACCACTAGATGGGGTAAAAGAGCCAAATAATAAACACCTCAATAAGACTAGAAGTGAAAGACGGTTACAATCAACGTTGCAGAGCAGACAGTCAGTGGTAGAGTCATGCTGCTGTTAGCCAATCAGAGACGAGATGTCCACATACCAGGAACTAAGACTCCAGATCCTGCCGTCTGAAGCTCAGCTGACCCCTGGCTGACCTCTATTTCCTGAAACGGGAGTTTCTGAGCTTTTTTTCCCACAGAGCTCGACTCAAGGCATCCATTTGTAGTAGAGACTGCTGTGGATGTTGGATAAAACCCTGAACGTGGTGTTTAAGGTGCTGGAAGAAGTAAAAACTCCTGGAAAGGACTCGAGTGTCATGATGCAGTTCTGTCAACACCTGGGTCAGCAGTTCCTGATTTTCCCTGTGTTTTGTCTGCCAGGTGTTTGTGCAGCACCAGGCCCTGTGCCGGGTGGAGGGTCTGCAGCCCGTCAGCGTGTCTGAGGGTCTGGGGGTGTGTCAGCGTCTGGGAGCCTGCAGGCTGCTGCTGCTGGAGTCCAGCCTCCTGGGAGTCCTGCAGAGGGTCCGCCTCAACGTGAGCCAGGACGACGTCCTCTACGCCCTGAAGGCCGACTGAGACGAGGGGGGACTCCTCACTCCACCTTTTTACTCCAGATGTCTTCATCTGTCTGGTTTTAAGAAACTGTTGTGTGTTTGTGTGAAATGTGAGATTTTAGAGCTTGTTTTTATGTTTCAGGGTTCAATTAAGCAATAAAACGCCTTTAATATAAAATCACCTTCTGTCTCCGTGGTGACCGACGAACGTTTGGGTTTCATCAGCACCAGACTCGACTCTCAGCTCCAGCAGCAGCAGATCTCTGAGTTGGTTCTGTTATTTAAAACGGTTCCTTCTGACAGCAGAGGAGTGGTGAGGCTGTCCGATTCACTGGACTTTTATTGTGATAGAGTCGATCAGGAAGTCGGCTGCTCATGAACTGGCTTCCACAACTAGGAACTTGTAGAATATTCCGGAGAAAACCATGAGGAATCCCGATGAAACCACTTACCTAGATAAAAACTTTTTTCTTTAATCAGAAAAAAAAAAGCAGATAAAAATCTTTTGTAACTTCCAGAACCACCTCGACCTCCGTGTGGAGGAGCAGCAGCACAGGCTCTACTCCTGGCCCCTCCCTGATTGGAGGTGACTCATTTCAGCCACTTGTATCCATCCTCTAGTTTTTGGGTCACTACCAGGTCAGCCACAGCTCACGACCATCTGTGAGGGTGGGGCCAGAGACCACTCTCTAAACCCAAAGCAGGGGTGCTCAAATGTCGATGGTCGGGGGGGGGGGGGCACTTAACAGAACGGGCAGATCTAAACACCAATCAAGGTTTAAGAACACTTGAAAATCCCTCTTTGGCATGTTTTGATTTCACACGTTTCCAGTTAGAGCTTCAGTTCGCAACGGGAGGAATGGGAATAAAACATTTTTCAAACATGATCTCAGTAATGAGTGACTCCGTTATTGTAGATCACTTTAAAAACTCATAGCGGCGTGCTTGATGCAAGCGTTGCCGTGAGCCGATGAAGATGGCCGCACCACTTTATAGACTTCCCTTCATCCCCTAAGGTTCTCAGCTGGATTTAAATGGGGAACAGGCAGGATGGTCCAGAGTCGTTGTCATCTGGAAGAAGAACCACGTTTTGACAACCTTTGAGTTTTTTATAACGGAGTTCTCGAGACATGAAAGTAAATTTCACTATAGTCGACTATCCGACGACGCTGTTGCATCTTTACTGTCCTCAGCATCTCAGAGGAACATATCCGAAGATCTACACTCACCTAAAGGATTATTAGGAACACCTGTTCAACTTCTCCTTAATGCAATTATCTAATCAGCCAATCACAGGGCAGCTGCTTCAGTACATTTAGGGGTGTGGTTCTGGTCGAGACCATCTCCTGAACTCCAACCTGAAGGTCCGAATGGGAAAGAAAGGTGATGTAAGCTATTGTGAGCGTGGCGTGGTTGTTGGTGCCAGACGGGCCGGTCTGAGTATTTCACAACCTGCTCAGTTACTGGGATTTTCACCCACAACCATTTCTAGGTTTACAAAGAATGGTGAGAAAAGGGAAAAACATCCAGTGTGCAGCAGTCCTGTGGGCCAAAATGCCTTGTTGATGCTAGAGGTCAGAGGAGAACGGGCCGACTGATTCAAGCTGATAGAAGAGCCTAACCCTAACCCTCGTTACAACCGAGGAACGCAGCAAAGCGTTTGTGAAGCCACGACCTTGAGGCGGATGGGCTACAGCAGCAGAAGACCCCACCAGGTAGGTACCACTCATCTCCACTACAAACAGGAGAAAGAGGCTACAGTTTGCACCAGCTCACCAAAACTGGACAGTTGAAGACTGGAAACATGTTGCCTGGTCTGATGAGTCTCCATTTCTGTTGAGACATCCAGATGATTGAGTCAGAATTTGGCATAAACAGAATGAGAACATGGATCCATCATGCCTTGTTACCACTGTGCAGGCTGGTGGTGGAGGTGTCATGGTGTGGGGGATGTTTTCTTGTTGCACTTTAGGCCCCTTAGTGCCACCTGGGCATGGTTTAAATGCCACGGGCTACCTGAGCAATCCTCACAGACCTGGACCTCCTGGCTATGGACCTCTGCCCGCTGGACCTTGGTGCCTTCCTGATATCTGACCCCCGTACCATCCTGGGCTGGTCTTAGGACCCCCCCATGGTGAGGGATCGCTAATCAACTTTGTTTTTGTTCCAGTGCTGCTCGCCAGGGAATTCTCATCAGCCCAGCAGACTGTTCCTGTGTCCTGCATCTGGGCAGAACAAGTCCTCACCAACAAAAACTACTGCTTCATTCTGGTGTTGGCTCAGTACTTGGGTCCCATTTACTCCTGGTTGTGGCAGACATGAGATACAAATAGACTGTTTGTTTGTTTACCTCTTGGCTGTTATGAGAAACCCACTATTGTCCTTTTTGTTCGTGTATTTAGACGTTTTTCTGGTATTTTACTCATAATCGTTGCTTTTCTTAGAAGAACTCCATGTTGGTTTTCCGTGAATTAATGCGGCCGCACCGCCGCTTAGGTGTGAACCAGCGTAACATTTATTTACGTAGAACAAGGGCGGTGACACCTCTGACATGTGCACCTGCGTGGAAATGATGTGGAACAGCTGGAAGTGAGGCATGGTGACGCAGCGTCTCATCAGCGGTTTTCCGGAGCAGGAACTCTTTTGGAGCGTCATCATGAAAGTAAGTAAGACCGGTTATTGCTCTTTGTTCACTCTGTGGGAAGGTTGATCAGATGTGTGCTCGTTACAGCGGCCCTTAAGCGCGTGAGCTACGATCTAAAAATAACCCGCAAAATCCACACAGTAGTTTTCACGTGTTTAGCGTACGCAGCTACTTCTGGGTCACACACGGAAACACGCCAGACTGTTTCTCAACGTTTGTTTCCAGCAAGGGAGTAAGAACGAGTTTAATATTGGGGGGGGGGGGGGGGGGGGGGGGGGGGGACACACATTTTGGAAATCTAACAAATCTGTTGTAGGTCAATATATACCGTAGGTCAACCTCACTGAAAAAAATACATTTAATGATTATTTCTGATTCTAACGTGTCACTGAGTGTTTCATGCAGGCTGAACATGAACATAGTCTCCTACCGCTATCTCCTGCATTAGCTTCTGATGGAAAATCTGATAGACGGTGAAACTCTAGGATTAGAAAAGTCTGACAGATGTGACTCAGGGCGTAAGGCAAAGCCCAGAAAGACAAGAAAATAACTTTTTTAGCCCAGTTCACTAACATTCTGGGTTTTTTTTTTGATCAGAGACCCATGAGCCAGCCAGAAAGGGAGGAGACTTAGGCTCCCCATTAGCCACATCCAGGTGATCACCGGCCAACGTGGATGTTTTAATGATAAAAAAGCTGTTTATGTGTCAGTACTGTTTTATTTTTATTTAATAGTATGAATGTAGGACATATTATCTTATACTGTATGAGTAGAGATGTGTAAACAGATTTAATACAAGACTAAAGCTGTGAATATTCAGTCTGAATTGATCCGACTCTCATCAGAATATTTTAAACTACATCAGCCAACAATGCTGACCAACAATCAGAACAATCTGTTTGTTTCTGACAGAATGAAAAAAGAAATAATTCACTTACAACAACAGCTGGAACTACATTAATATTCAGACGGACAAAAGAAAAAACAGTGGCCAAAATTGCAGTCTAAATGCACCAGAAAGCAGAGTTTAACACTTATTTTTCTGATATTTCTACGGAAGCGTGTACAGACTGTAATTTATTCTTAAACCATACTGCCCAGCCCTGCTTGTAATGGGATTACATTTATTTAACTGTGTTCACTTATTATTACATTCAAATCTTCCTCTCATCAGCAACCTAAAACCACCTCATTCTTCACTGTAGCACCTACCTGCACCTCAGCAGGTCTGGCGCTGCCTGTCTCACTCTCAGCAGGTCTGGCACTGCCTGTCTCACTCTCAGCAGGTCTGGCGCTGCCTGTCTCACTCTCAGCAGGTCTGGCGCTGCCTGTCTCACTCTCAGCAAGTCTGGCGCTGCCTGTCTCACTCTCAGCAGGTCTGGTGCTGCCTGTCTCACTCTCAGCAGGTCTGGCGCTCCCTGTCTCACTCTCAGCAGGTCTGGCGCTGCCTGTCTCACTCTCAGCAGGTCTGGCGCTGCCTGTCTCACTCTCAGCAGGTCTGGCGCTCCCTGTCTCACTCTCAGCAGGTCTGGCGCTGCCTGTCTCACTCTCAGCAGGTCTGGCGCTGCCTGTCTCACTCTCAGCAGGTCTGGCGCTGCCTGTCTCACTCTCAGCAGGTCTGGCGCTCCCTGTCTCACTCTCAGCAGGTCTGGCGCTCCCTGTCTCACTCTCAGCAGGTCTGGCTCTCCCTGTCTCACTCTCAGCAGGTCTGGCTCTCCCTGTCTCACCCTCAACTGGTTCCTGCTGAACTTCATCTGATCTCTAATATAAAAACAGTGGACAGGAATAAGGAGTAAAAATACAGTTGGACGACTAGTGCAACATTAAAATCATGGCTGTTATAGTATTATTTAGTCGTGGTCCTCTCATCATCAACCATCTAAAATCTCACTCCACTGTAGCACAGAGGCGTGTCCAGGGAGCGGCCTGGGGTAGCACATGCCACTCTTAAAATCTGATTGGCCACCCCCAGGTGCCACCCCACTAAGTTCCAGTTTAAATTGACTTTACATTGTCGACAAAAGGCTTGGGTTGTAAACTCCAAAATAGTGTGTGGTTGCATGCACCTTTCACCTTGTTTTCTAGCCCAGGCATGTAGTATTAATATTATTTAATATTTTTTCATATTCACATACATAGTATTTAGAGTCCCACTCAACTCCAGTTGGTGGCAGTAATGAACAAGAAGTGAATTGCTAACCACCACAAAAGTAGAAGATGAAGAGGAAAAAGAAAAATGGTGATTGTGCAATGTGAAACTCAAAAATTCACTAGAAAGTAAATAAATAAATAAATAAATAAATAAACAAAGATTTGTGTAAATAAATAAGCATAAACATTGGTGCCACCCATGAATAAACAAGTGTCCTACATGGGCCACCCCATTTTGAAAGTCCTGGACACGGCTCTGCTGTAGCACCTACCTGCACCTCAGCAGGTCTGATGCTCCCTGTCTCACCCTCAGCAGGTCTGGCGCTGCCTGTCTCACCCTCAGCAGGTCTGGTGCTCTCTGTCTCACCCTCAGCAGGTCTGGTGCTCTGTCTCACCCTCAGCAGGTCTGGTGCTCTCTGTCTCACCCTCAGCAGGTCTGGTGCTCTGTCTCACCCTCAGCAGGTCTGGTGCTCTGTCTCACCCTCAGCAGGTCTGGCGCTGCCTGTCTCACCCTCAGCAGGTCTGGTGCTCTCTGTCTCACCCTCAGCAGGTCTGGTGCTCTGTCTCACCCTCAGCAGGTCTGGTGCTCTGTCTCACCCTCAGCAGGTCTGGTGCTCTCTGTCTCACCCTCAGCAGGTCTGGTGCTCTCTGTCTCACCCTCAGCAGGTCTGGTGCTCTGTCTCACCCTCAGCAGGTCTGGTGCTCTGTCTCACCCTCAGCAGGTCTGGTGCTCTGTCTCACCCTCAGCAGGTCTGGTGCTCTGTCTCACCCTCAGCAGGTCTGGTGCTCCCTGTCTCACCCTCAGCAGGTCTGGCGCTGCCTGTCTCACCCTCAGCAGGTCTGGCGCTGCCTGTCTCACCCTCAGCAGGTCTGGCGCTGCCTGTCTCACCCTCAGCAGGTCTGGCGCTGCCTGTCTCACCCTCAGCAGGTCTGGCGCTGCCTGTCTCACCTTCATCATTTCCTGCTGAACTTCCTCTGGTCTCTTATATGAAAAAAGTGACATGAATAAGGTTTAAAAATGAAATGTGATGAGAATGTCACAAACAAGCAACAATCACACTTACAAACTCCATTTTTATGTGGAGATTCTACTTTTTTATTTATTTCGTGTCAAATGGTTTTTGTCTGTTACTGTAAAATTCGCCATTTTTTGTTGACTAGTAGTGTTGTTTAACGCTAACTAGCAAGATGTTTACTTTAGTCAGCCATTTTAGCGTTTGACCAGAAATACAATTATACTCTTGGACTAAATTATTACCAACTCACAATTCCTTTCTTTCTTTTTTTGCCCATGAGAAGAACTCGCTGAGCTGCTGCCAGGGGCGGATTTAGGACTGAAGAAGATCCGGGGCTTAACACACACGCGCGCACACACACACGCGCACACACACGCATGCGCGCACACACGTGATACGCACTAGTCAACATCATATATATTTGTCTTGTACCACATAATGTTTAATCTGAAGCTACATATTCAGCATATTCAGGGCAGAGTATTGTTCCTGTTAGTGTTTAGTGTGAGATGATAGTGAATATTCCCTTTCTTTCTCCAACAACTTTACCTGATAGTAAGCTAACTTTAGGCAAACCAGCAGCACAACAAATATTTTCAAATAAGACTCACAAACCTGAGTCAACACCAGTCTCATCAGAGCTGGGGTTCTGTCGTTGTACTTTTGGTCTAAAAAAACGTCCTTATATCCATCTTCACTCATGCGTTTCAGACAGACTGCAGAAGCCAGCTGCTGAAGGGCTTCTCTTCAGTCTCAGGTAAACTGTATACTGACTAAGTAGCCTAGTGGAAGAGTGTCTGCCCTGACATCGGGAGATCAGGGGTTCGACTCTTGGTCGGGTCATACCAAAAATTTTGAGAAAAATGGGACCCAATGCCTCCCTGCTTGACACTCAGCATTGGATTGGGGTTGGATTGGGGGGTTAAACCACCAAATAGTTCCCGAGCGCGGCGTGTCTGCAACTCAGGGGATGGGTCAAAATCGGAGAATAAATTTCACCACACACCTGTGTGTGTGACGACTAAATGGGACTTTACAAACTACTGCCAGCTGCGCCCTCTCTGTGTGACTTTGGTACTGCATGTTACTTCCGCGATTTAGATCCGGGGCTTATCATGAAAGATCCGGGGCTTCAGCCCAAGTAGCCGGGCCTAACGCCGCCCCTGGCTGCTGCCATCTGTCTCTGACACCGACACCTGTGTCTGCCCCGGCTCCGACTCCTGCTACTCTCAGCCAGCCTGTCTGACTACCTGAGGGGAGGGGCTGTGTCGGAGAGAAGTCCGCGGTGTCTTTCAAAATAAAAGCTCGCGAGTCAAATATTTCAAAATCAATCTTTTTCTTCTCCATGTTATTAGGGGGGACAAATGCGCGTTTGTCCAATATTGGAGGGGACACGTCCCACCCGGTTCCTACGCCCTTGGTTTCCAGCATCTAAGCAGGTTTGCGTCTCCTCCTCCTGTGCAGGAGCGCAGATTACTGATGCGATCCGCGAGCTCGCACCTGGTTGGTTACTTATGAACTTACATTTACTATTATATTAGCTCTTGTTATTTCATATTTTGTCTTGTATTAACCTTTCTTCCAGCGTTTCCTAGGTGGGGGCCCTCTGCCTCGGGGGCGGTGGTCAACGGTTGCTGCCGTGGTACCCTCTGGGTAGTGCTTGGATGGAGGTGGGGCCATTCCCTCCCTCCCCTTTGCACCTGGTGTTGATGCCTGGCTGCTTCGGTTGGTCTGCTGCTGCTGGGGCAGATGGCTCCTGTGATGGCGTTTCCTTGTGCTACCATATCTGGGTCACCTGAACTCTTTCAGCGTGTTTTGTAGTACAGTTGGACGATTAGAGATGAGTTACTAGTTTTGTTGCTACCGACAGTCCTCAGTGTTCTTTACTTTGTGTTCTACGTCTGTTCTGTTCAACACTTTAACCATTTTAACTGAGTATGCATCCTCAGCGTTACCCTAGATTTCGTAGAAGAGCTGGGTTGTAACATGAAGCATGAAGCAAATCTAAATGAGGTTTATCTTCTAAAAACTTTATTTTGAAATCTCTTAATAACTCAGAAAAACTAAACATGAATCAGAGTCTTTATTTCTGATCGTTCTTCCTACAGAAACAACTGGAAAAAAAAATGTATTTACACAATTCCAAACTTTAACCAAACGTTCCGGGTTGGGTTTGGATCTCTGACGGTAAAAAGGGAAAATCTGTGCTACAGGAGACTCAGTCTTTTTCTCTTCGGCTCTTCTTGTGACTCTTTTTTGAACTCCTGTAAGAAAACAAGATTTGATTATGAAGACAAAACACCTGCAGATAAAAACTTTAGCTAACAGCAACAAGCTTCATCCTGGATCGGCCGCGCCCCGCTCAGGTGCGACTCACCTCTCTGGAGACTTGGAGTGGCTGCGGTGTCGGTGGCTCCGGTGGTGACCTGGATCGCAACAATCACACGGTGAACACAAGTTCAGGGGGGCTTCAGGACTTTCCTCATGCAAACCTAAACAGCTGTTCTACTTCCGTCTGAATCAAACCCGTCTGAGCGGAACCAGTTTTAAGCCAGGCGGACACTGTGCGACTTTTTCACTCGCAGCGTTCAGCTTCAGCTCAAACTGTACGACTTCCTCGCAGAGCAGATCTCACGAGTCATGTGCTCACACTGTACGACCCAGTTCTCGCATGCGACCTGACTGCTCACACTGTACGTCTGGTAGCAACACGTCGGCCCTAAAAATGTGCTAAAAATAGCAGTTTTTACTCAACACGTCAGACTTTTTTGTCTTGCCTGTTGTCCTTCGGGAGCGCTGCAGGAGGACACACAGGGATTTATGGGGGTTGGATGAGGAAAACGAAATAAAGAAAGTAAATCTGTGTTTTGTGATCAGTTTAATTTGACATGAACACGACAAACACGCTTTCTTGACAATCTTTGTGAGTAAAAAAACGTGTAGAAACAAAAACGAACAGCGTGTGTTATTAGGGAAATAGCGGGCGAGCGGCGTTGATGCAGGATTGCGCATGCGCCGTGAGCGGTTCTGATACTTTTTGGGTCGCAGCTGCTCGCAGCGCCACTTCAACAGTGCGATACCCTCACGAGGGACGAGCGAAATATTAAACACGCCAGAAGTCCGTGCGAGCTCACGACTGCTGATCGGCGGCTGGTCATGTGGTGTCAATCGCCTCTCGTAACCCCCTGTACACTACACGACCGCTCGGCGCAAAACTCGCCCCGAAGTCGTGGATTCTCGCACGACTGGAAAATCGGCTCAAAAAAGTGAAAAAGTCGCACAGTGTACGCCCGGCTTTAGGGGAAGATGGACCGATGTAGATTTTCTGGGCCAATACCGGTTTCTGACCCGCTCAGCTGATTATGTCGAAGAAGAAAAGTGAAACAGAGAAAAGATGATCCCGGAAGCAAAAACATTCCGATGGAAGAGCTTGGAGCAGGAAGGACGAGTTCCGATCGGATCCTTTCAGGAAAGTGTTCAGATGAAAAGGAAACGCTAGTCGTCCTTTAAGTTTCACTCTTATTTAGGAAGGGCACTGATTTAAAACCCCCTTTATATTATTAATACATGTAAAAGCAGCAGCGAGCTGCATAACACAACCCAACATTGTTAGTCGGTTCTCTTTGTTCATTCGTGCATCTGGCTCTGTGAACTGGAACTGCTGGTGGCAAACTGGGAGTTAATGGAGACCGCTGATTTGCTTTGTTGGCGCCCGAAGGCAACAGCTGAAGTGGAAGTAGTGAATCACGGAGCCGTCCTTCACAGCACGTCACACACACACACACACACACACACACACACACACACACACACACACACACACACACACACACACAGTTTAAAATACCACCAAGCTGCAGACATGTTAGCTCTGCGTTGGCCTGCTTGCTAACAGCTGCATAAATGGCCTGTTTTTGTACAGCGCCTTGGGGGGGGTCCTACAACCCCCCAAGGCGCTGTACAACAGAATCAGTCATTCATCCATTCACACACACATTCACACACTGGTGGGGATGAGCTACGATGTAGCCACAGCTGCCCTGGGGCGCTCTGACAGAGGCGAGGCTGCTGAGCACTGGCGCCACCGGTCCCTCCGACCACCACCAGCAGGCAAGGTGTGTTAAGTGTCTTGCTCAAGGGCACAACAGCAGAATTCTCTGGTGGGAGCCGGGATTGAACCTTCCGATTACTGGCCAACCTGCTCTACTGCTGTCCCGTCAGACATGTAGGTGTCTGAATCCCTGCCTGCTGTAAACTGTGGCGTTACGTGTTGTTTTTGTACAACAAACAAATAAACGGATGTAGATAAACGTGTTGACACTAAAACTAAGACATCATTATTCCATTTGAAAATCTCCATTTAAAACGTCATTTGTTGTTTTAAAAGTTAAACGCGTTTTTTTCCTCCACATCTCGATGCTTTTAAATCAGATCGGCGCCTCCCTCGATAAAATCCGACAATAGTAGATATTTAAAATGGCCTCGTTCTTTATTTGGAACAGCAGTTTAAGCTAGCTCCATAAAAACATATACAGGTCCAACCCCCTCCTGACCCTAACCTGACCTGTTCTGGGGCACCCTGCCCATCTGCCCAGGTACTGATGGATGAATGAATGCATTCATTCATAGATGGGTGGATGTGGAGGTTAGAAACTAGAGTCAGGACTCAGCACGACTCCACCAGCAGCTCGTAGGAAAAGCGAGCGGTGATTTTAACCGGACGCCAGCGGCGGTCGGGATCTACCCACCGGGGGATTTGGAGCGGTGCCGCCTGTTTCTGGAGCGACTGCGGTGCCGGTGGGGGCTCTTGCTGCGATGGCGGTCTCTGCGAGGCGACGGACTGTTGAACGACACATCAGAGTCAAACACAAACAGGCTACAACCACAATGGCTGCTGGATCAGAGCCGTACCTTCGTCTCTTTGGAGATCTGCTCCTCCTGAAAAGCCAAAGCATCACGTTTAGTTCTCTAGCACGGCAGAGTCGGTGGGTTTCTGACACAAGATTCATAAATGTGGTAAAAAAAAAAAGAGCAGCAGAACCGTCTGGGCGAGCGGCTGCGTCTGTAGCGGGGTGACGGGGAGCGACGTGGCCGGTCGTTGTCACGGTAACCACGTCTGTGAGGCTCTGGGCTCGGCTGCCTCTCCATCTGCAGACGAAGGGAAAACGATCACAAAGCCGATCAGTCGCGTTTAAACGGGCCGAGAATCCCGTTTTACAACTGATTATTGTAACGAAGAACCAATCTGGACCTTCAACGCTCATTTCCAAACGGTAAATGGGGAGCCTGTATTTGTACAGCGCCTTCTTAGGGTTATACAGCCCCCCAAGGCACTTTACAAAACAATCAGTCATCCACCCATTCACACACTGCTGGGGATGAGCTATGATGCAGCCACAGCTGCCCTGGGGCGCTCTGAGAGACGAGGCCGGCGCCCTCGGTCCCTCCAGCCGCCACCAGCAGGCAAGGACCCAACAGCAGCCTTCTCTGGTCTGAGCTGGGATTGAACCTGCAACCTTCTGCAGCTTGTATCTTCCAGGATTCCAGAAAGGGAGAGGCACACCAGACTCATCTAAACTGTTTTCTACTACATGACCAGCAGGGGGCTTCGCTCATCACCTTCTCTTCCTCCTCGTCCTCATCCTCGCTGCTCTCCACTTCGTCCAGGTCCTCCTCCAGAGCGCTGATCCGTGGGTCCAACATCTCGGCCTCCTCCAGAACCTGTCTCTTCTGTAAACAAACAAACAAACAAACAAACAAACATCAAGTTACTGGACAAGAGCTTCTTTAAGAGCAAGTCAACTTTTTGCAGATTAACTAAACAAACGAGAGTCTAATCACAGACACGTGCAGTACTTTAGTGCACCTTAGTTAAAATGTACACTTCCTGCCTAAAGCTGTCCGCGTTGCGCCCTCTTCAGGTAAAACTCTGCACTGCATTTAAATCTGCCGTCGTTACTGGCTAAGATATATGACATCAGCTGGTACCATATGATGTCACAGTGCCGTTGTGAGCGTGCGTGTGTTATTGGCTCCGCCCTCTCGGTCTGCCAGGCAACAGCATTTGTTCCCGCCCCTCAATTGGAGGGTTGCAGGTTCAAATCCCGTTCGCTCGTGTCCTTGGGCAAGACACTTAACCCTCCTTACCTGCTGGTGGTGGTCAGAGGGACCGGTGGCGCCCGTGCAGCTGTGGCTACATCGTAGCTCATCACCACCAGCGTGTGTGTGAATGGATGAATGACTCTCTGTAAAGCGCTTTGGAGCCCTCTGACTCAGAAAGGTGCTACACAAGTGTGGGTCATTCATCCCAAACTGGTTTCATCCGACCAACACGAAGACAGAAACAGCTGATCCAGTCCGTATTCGGAGGGATGATTTTCCTCCTGAGAGCCAAGAACATTCCTGATGAGTCAAGCAGAGGAAGATCTGCTGGGAACTCATGCATCGTGTTCCAGGAAAACCAAGTTTTACTCTGATGTGTTTCATCGTGAGAACAGGTTGTGTCTCTGCTGGTACCCGAGGCTCATCCCTTGAGTTAGGAGCTAAAACATCCACGTTTCTATAGAAACGACTGAAACTGGGAATCAAGAAATCAGCAGAAATGTAATAAAAAGTCTCATCGGGGTTCTGGTCTGGATCAGGGTTCTGTCCTGGTTTTGGGACCATCAGGTGAACTCACCTGTAGGCGGGGCAGGATGATGTCACACACTCTCTCTGCATGAAGAAGCTCATCGATGAACTCGTCGACATGCATCAACTCAAACTCTGGAAGAGAAGAAAAGAAAATCATGTTGAGATCATAAAGAACTCCTAGATTATAATCCAGGATGAGGAACAAGGCTGGACCTGTAGGCTGTATATGTACAGTCTATGTCAGTATACAAGGCTGTATATGTACAGTCTATGCTCCCGAGGCACCAATGCGACGGTCCTCTCTGAGACGCCCCGTGGCTCCCAAACGCCTTTGTTACTCTCCGGTCATAACAGAAAATAGCAAAAAGAAAGTACGTGAAACTGGACGATTTCGCTCCACGTCAAGGCCACTTTTCAGCATGTTTTAGTTGGCTTCCATCTTCAACACACTGAATGGGGTGTGCTGGAGCAATGAAACAACTAAAACATGCTGGATAGCAGCCCTCAAGGACTGGAGTGGAATAGACTTTCCATATGTGGTTGTTTTTGATTTTTTTTTTCACCACCAAATTTTTCTCTCAATAGAAAACAAAATCCCCCATAGAAAAGAATGCTGAGAAAAAGCAGGTAAAGGATGAAGATGCCACCAAGAACAGTGTTGTGGAACCTAGTAGAGCTGAAACAACTAATCGATTTAATCGATTATAATCGATTATTAAAATAGTTAACAACTTTTTTAGTCATCGATTAGTTGTTTAATAATCATATTTTACCGCATAAAGTCTATTTTTTACCACAATCTGACATCGGTTACAAGCTGTTAAATTTGCCGCCAGTGTGTGGCAGTAATGAGCCACTGATCTACCAGTGGAGCCGTAGAAGAAGAAATGAGCCAATGGGTGCCCTCGGTTTTCATGACGTATCACGTTACTGACGCTCATCTTGCTGTGAGAAAATGGCGGAACAAGAGGAAATACGGAAGAAAAATAGAAGCGACAAAACTGAAGAGAAACCCCGGACAAAAACCTCACGAGTATGGGAGCACATTTGAGACGAAAGCATGTGGGGGCTGATGCAGCAGAGGAAGAGCACCGCGGTCAAGTGAGCCGTCATTTGGAAGAGCCAGCCCGGTAAGTAACAGAAAATAAACAAGCTGGACTTAGTGTTTTAGCTGAGTTCGTTATGGGTTATAGGTTCAACCTACATCTGTAAGTACAGAAACACTGCTCTGTCTTTGTGCTTGGAGGTTTGTGTGTAATGTTTTCGTTTTGGCCTGACAGAATGGTTACGGAGGACTTTCTGAGTATGAACTGAAGCGCCTGGAGAACATCAAACAGAACCAAGCTTTTCTGTCTTCTATCAACCTGCTCCAGGTAGGCTTGTGGGTTTGGCTCTTTTACTCACCTCAGCCCTAAACTTTAAACTTGTGTGTGACTAAATTACCTAAAGGTGGATATTGTATTTCATCGCTTATCCAAGATCTGGTTGCAGGGGTATCGGTTCTAGCAGGAAAAGTTAGACACGCCTCTTCCCAGTGACACTATCCAGCTGCTCCCGGGAATCCAGAGCAACTGACGAGCCAGAAAGGATCTAAAATCCTGTCAGGAAATCAAACAGGAGGCAGACACTCCACACAGTGGTCCCTCGTTTACCGTGGGGCTTACGTGTATTTATTAGTTTTCCCCTGAACTAATTGACGAATGTTTTTCCTCTCAAAACATGAATGCTGATTATTTTACGGCAATAGCAGCACCATGAAGACGATTAAACAACCAGATGTGCCACTCTGTGCGCTCTGTTCGGGTTCAGCAGTCCACTCCTGTCCTGCTCGCTCGTAGGGTTGTCACGGTGTGAAAGTTTGACCTCACGGTTATTGTGACCAAAATTGTCACGGTTTTCGGTATTATCACGGTATTTTTTTAAACGCGTTACATTTTCAGACAACTAAATAAATCCTGTATATCAGGAAAATACTGTCGTCAGTTTGTGTCTAAATTTTGCCTAAAATGTGTTATTTTGTAATTATGTTGTTTATTTGTTTACATTTTTCCCTTTTAGTCTTTAAAATACCAATATTTGCCCATAACTTCTTATTTTTTGTCTGTTTGATGTCATCATTTAAAAAATATTAGACCAGATGATACTCAGTACTCAAGTAGCCTTCTAATCAGATACTTTTTTACCCTTACACGAGTAATAAACCCTATATCAGGAAAATATCATCCTCGGTTTGTGTCCTTCCAGTGAGCTTTGCAGATGTGGGAAAATGTCATCAGGCAGTAATCGTTGTTAAATTCATAATTATTCTCGGAGAGAGACCAACTCTTATCTGCCCCTGGGAGCCCCGTAATGCATAGCGTCATTTCAACATGGCGGTGTCCGCGACACGGTTTATATGCAGCTAGCGGCGCTGCGGCTGCTTTATATAGCGACTCGTTGCATTCTCCCTCAACCCAAATCCTCGGATCACGTATTTTAGCTAAAATGCTAACGTTAGCTTGCCTTGCGTTGACTGTAGGGTTGTGGGCGATGGTCACGCAGATGTGTCATGAGATTTGAAACGTTGCTGCCTTTCACAGACACTTTTTCTGCACGTGCTGCAAACAGGATAGCTGTCTTCTATAAACTGTCCCTCGGCATTCTTCAAATATCCAAAAGATGCCCGTACTTCCGACTTTGTCTTCTTTGAGGAATAATAAATGTCCTCCTGAGCGCTGCCGTCTCCTCCTTTGGCCATTATTTCAGCTTTAGATTCAAGAAAGTTTTGGTTGTAAACAACAAAGCGTGTATGTGCCGCCGGCAACTTCAGCAGATGATACGGTGGCTAAGGGTCACCACGCCTACACCGCAGCCACGGTAACCCACCGAGATAATATATGTTTTAAAAAACAAGACGGTTATTATTATTGTCAACTTTTTTACCGGGGTGTACCGCTACACCGGTTACCGTGACAATACTAGCTCGCTGCTATCACTGTAACTTTTAAAACCAAAAGAGACCCTGGATGTGGACTCGCCGAGCAAAACCTTTTCAGATTGTCACATTTAATGTTTCTCCTCCCAGCCATGGACATTTTAGACATAAATTGTCCAACTGTTACTGGCATACTGTTCAAACAGCAGCCAGCTTGACTGTTATTGGTGCTTTTCTTGTCTAATCCCGCTGTCCCAATATCTGATTATTTCCGTTTGTCTTTTCCATTTTCTGATTGGATTTTCATTAATGTCTATTTGTTGTTGCCTTATGTTTACCATCGGGTGGGGGAACCACGTCACGGAGGGACTACTGTACTCTAACTTTTTTCAGTGTGGAGGAGCTGCAGCTCTCCCTGGATAATGGAGCTTCTCGCCTTTTCTCTAAAGCAGTGGTTCCCAAACTTATTTAGCCGCGCACCCCCTTCTATGTTCCGACCATGTTGACGCACCCCCCAGCCCCACATCAGGGCATGGCTATATATATATATATATATATATATATATATATATATATATATATATATATATATATATATATATATATATATATATATATATATATATCAGACGTCACGCTAAACCAGGGGTCGGCAACCTGTTCCCGTCAAAGAGCCATTATTACCCGTTTCCCACAGTAAAGAAAACACCGCAGCAGCCGCGGCATTGTGGGCGGGGCCTACCCTCAGACAGCAGAGAGCTGCTTTAACCAATCACAACAGGTGACAGCAGCCGGTACCGGTCGCTCGTGTACGTCAAAGTTATCTTTCATAAGACGATAATCAATAAAACGATTTATATGAAGTGGATCCAGAAGTTTTAGCCCGTCTCTGCCGACAATATTTTGATATTTTTCACCGTTGATGGTTTTACTGAGCAGGTGCCACTTTTGTCACACGTTTCTTTTTAAAACATGTTTAGACTGTTCACAATACAAATCCAGGCTCTGTCACGTTTGACTGTTGTAATTAAAGTAAACTTTGTAGGTGGGGAAGGTCAGAAAAGGATCCGATCATTTTGTTTTTCCCTAATTTACACTGACGGAGATAACGGTGCAGTCCGCCTGGCTCTGGTGTTAATCAAGTTAAATTTGTAACAATTTTCACAAGAAAACAGAACAGTTAAAAGCAGGACTTGTGTTGACCGGACAGTTCTCGTATGTGGCCGTTTATTTTGACGGAGAAAGAATAGAAAGAATTACCCCGACGCATGCAGACAAACTGACATTTTATTCGTTTCGCACATCGCAGATGTAGCTACATCACTCAAGAAAAGATTCCCATCTGAACATCTGAGCTGGACATTGCTCAGCGCAGCTCACTGTCAGCGCGTACATAAGGTGCACCGCGAGCTGAAGATGTGGAGAGGGGCTTGGAGCGCGTTGCAGAACCAGAGCGCATGCGGGAAGATTCCTTCCACTGAAGCGAGAGTTTTCCAAACCCGGTCTCTCAGAGAGACTTGTCACTTAGAAAATGTTCCCTGATGATGAAACTTTGGCTGAATTGTGCTTGTTCCTGTCTCCAATGTGGCGTCTGAGGAGAATCCCAGAATCTCACATCGTCTTCAGCTCAGAAAGCGCCTATGATTACGCACAAGCGTGACGTGTCAACCCGGTCTCACAGTAAGACCGGGTTGGAACTGTTCAGGTTTACGCAGACAATCTTTACATTTAGAATTAGCTTAGAGATGTAAAATTTATGCAGTAAAATATAAAGCATTTTATTTAAATATCCATTCATTATTTTACAATCACAGAGAGCCACATCAGATGGAAGAGCCGCGGGTTGCCGACCCCTGAGCTAGGGCATGTGCGGAGGACACACACACACACACACACACACACACACACACACACACACACACACACACACACACACACACACACACACACACACACACACACACACACACACACACACACACACACACACACACACACACACACACACTACTTTTTTTCAATTAAATTTATTGGGCCCACTTCCATTTTCTTAAGCCCACCCACAAATGAGTTTCTGGCTACACTAATGGTGACTTTTGACAGACTCTGAGCTCCGCAGCCATTACTTTTCACCTTGCGCACCCCCTAGCGACAGCTCGCGCACCCCCAGGGGTGTGCGCACCACACTTTGGGACTCCCTGCTCTAAAGCCTGGCCACCTGGTTCCAGAATCTTGCTCGTTTCTTGACCATTGATGAGGTTTTGGAGGTTGGTGGGCCAGTAAATCAAGACGAGGTTTCCCCCAGTGCTTTATAAGCCTGGCGGCCCACCAGGCCTAAGCGTCATGCCACGCCCCCCTCCCCGACCCTACCGTGTCCGCTGACACGAATGGCGCAACGAAACTAGAGCCCTCCATCAGCTGATACTGGTGAGAAACAGCAGTGGAACATGTGCAACCCAGCCCCGCTCTCACAGAGGAGCGCTGCGGGATGGAGCGCGCGACCCCCACCCCCCATGGCCAAATCCGCCAGCCTTAACTCATTTTCTGGCGGAAACCCCTCAAGAGCTTTGCCATTTTGCTCTGTTCATTTTTTTTCACTGCGGACTTCATTAGTGAAGATGCCCGGATGTGTCGATCCATCTCTTGTATCATTGCACCATCGCTAGCAAATCAAATGCCATGACACGTAAACTCCTCATCTGGAGACGGGCTCACTCCTAACCTGGAACAAGCATTCCACTCTTTTCCAGTTAAGGACCATTGCCTCTGGTTTGGAAGAGTGAACTCTCATCCCAGCTGCGGCGTACTCAATTGCTAACCTCTTTAGAGTCTGTAAGTTGTGGATTGAAGACTTCAGATCCTGTCCATGAAGACCACAAATGGGATCGGAAACCAGAGGAAGTCCTCGTGGAATCCATCTTACGCTGGGAACAAGTTTTACTTGGAGCCAAAAATGAATTCAAACAGAATCAGTAGAAATAAATACTCATCTTTATTGAGAAGAGTCCAATCATGTTGGTCTGTGGTTGTTTATGATCTTTTTATTGTGTCTAATGTTTTCCTTTATTTGAAGGCAACAGAAGACCTGAAGCGGTCAACACGACGAAAGTGTTCACAGAAGGGGCTGAGGTACGATCATCCCAAATGGTGCATCATAGGAGGGTTCATTCACAAGCAAAAGGAAGTAATTATCCTACCAAGCTAACAAAAATACAATTATTTTTGAGGGTTTAATCATTGCTGCAAGTGCTGAACGGTCTGGTTCAAAACCATAGGCCCTGCCCTGCCCTGCAGGGCGGCCCTGCCCTGCCCTGCCCTGCAGGGCGGCCCTGCTCTGCCCTGCCCTGCCCTGCTAAGCAGGGCGGCCCTGCCCTGCCCTGCAGGGTGGCCCTGCCCTGCCCTGCCCTGCAGGGCGGCCCTGCCCTGCCATGCCCTGCCCTGCAGGGCGGCCCTGCCCTGCCCTGCCCTGCCCTGCAGGGCGGCCCTGCCCTGCCCTGCCCTGCCCTGCAGGGCGGCCCTGCCCTGCCCTGCCCTGCATGGCGGCCCTGCCCTGCCCTGCAGGGCGGCCCTGCCCTGCCCTGCCCTGCCCTGCCCTGCAGGGCGGCCCTGCCCTGCCCTGCCCTGCCCTGCAGGGCGGCCCTGCCCTGCCCTGCCCTGCCCTGCCCTGAGGGTCAGAGCGCACTCGACTAAAGGTGTGGCCACTTCAGGGGCGCTGGTGACGTTAGCTCAGCTGCTAGCTGGGCTGAACCCAACACTTTCATGCAGTTTTGCCATCTGGTTTTTGTGGCCTCTTCTGAAGCTCATCAACTTCTTTCTGCTGGTTCTGAATTGGCATCTTAAATTGCGTTCTAAGCCCAGGTTTGATAGCTGCTTATGGGGTGCTTCTTGATGTCCCATAGTACCTTCATTGTACCAAGTGAATCGACTGAAAGGGAGTGTTAGGTTATGCGTATAACCACTGTTTCCAAAAGATTTGTTCACGAGTTTTGGGAACACCACCCACAACAATGAACAAAGGTTCACCAATTAAAACAAACCTAATGAAAGGAAACTCACTTTTAGTGAGACATTCAATCATTGATTTATTTTGTGTTTTTGTGGAGATCAGTGATAAATAATACCGATAACTGGGATACAGGAGAAATGTGCACCAGCTCTGGAGGAGGGTAGAGGAGCCAAGGATTGTAGTCCAATAGCTTTACTTTAATATGTGAAAAAGTAGTCTGAGAAAAAAAAGTTTGATAAAGAAGCTACTCAAATAGTAAGTACACCTTTTATCATAAAATCGGATTTAATTTGTTGAACTTGTTTAATAAGGTAAAGTTTTGTTGTTTTCTCAGATGGGAGGAGATTTAAAACATCAGATCGGTTTCCTGTAAATCTAAACACAGCGGTGTGAAAAACTAGTTGCCCCCTTCCTGATTTCTTATTCTTTTGCATGTTTGTCACACAAAATGTTTCTGATCATTAAACACATTTAACCGTTAGTCAAAGATAACAAGTAAACACAAAATGCAGTTTTGAAATGATGGTTTTTATTATTTAGGGAGAAAAATATCCAAACCTGCATTGCCCTGTGTGAAAAAGTATTTGCCCCCTGAACCTAATAACTGGTTGGGCCTCCCTTAGCAGCAATAACTGCAATCAAGCGTTTGCAATAACTTGCTACGAGTCTTTTGCAGCGCTCTGGAGGAATTTTGGCCCACTCATCTTTGCAGAATTGTTGTAATTCAGCTTTATTTGAGGGTTTTCTAGCATGAACCGCCTTTTTAAGGTCATGCCATAGCATTGCAATAGGATTCAGGTCAGGACTTTGACTAGGCCACTCCAAAGTCTTCATTTGGTTGTTCTTCAGCTATTCAGAGGTGGATTTGCTGGTGTGTTTTGGGTCATTGTCCTGCTGCAGCACCCAAGATCGCTTCAGCTTTAGTTGACGAACAGATAGCCGGACGTTCTCCTTCAGGATGTTTTGGTAGACGGTAGAATTCATGGTTCCATTTATCACAGCAAGCCTTCCAGTTCCTGAAGCAGCAAAACAACCCCAGACCATCACACTGCCACCACCATATTTTACTGTTGGTATGATGTTCTTTGTCTGAAATGCTGTGTTACTTCTACGCCCGATATAACGGGACATTTACCTTCCAAAAAGTTCAACTTTTGTCTCATCAGTCCACAAGGTGTTTTCCCAAAAGTCTTGGCAATCACTGAGATATTTCTTAGCAAAATTGAGACGAGCCCTGATGTCTTTTTGCTTAACAGTGGTTTGCGTCTTGGAAATCTGCCATGCTGGCCATTTTTGCCCAGTCTCTTTCTTATGGTGGAGTCGTGAACACTGACCTTAATTGAGGCAAGTGAAGCCTGCAGTTCTTTAGAAGTTGTCCTGGAGTTTTTTGTGATCTCTCAGAGGAGTTGTGTCTGCGCTCTTGGGGTAATTTTGGTCAGCCGCCCACTCCTGGGAAGGTTCACCACTGTCCCATGTTGTTGCCATTTGTGGATAATGGCTCTCACTGTGGTTCGCTGGAGTCCCAAAGCTTTAGAAATGGCTTTATAACCTTTACCAGACTGATGGATCTCACTTACTTTTGTTCTCATTTGTTCTTGAATTTCTTTGGATCTTGGCATGATGTCTAGCTTTTGAGGTTCTTTTGGTCTACTTCTCTGTGTCAGGCAGCTCATATTTGAGTGATTTCTTGATTGAAACAGGTGTGGCGGTAATCATGCTTGGCTACAGGATGTTGTTCTCTCCCTAAATAAAACTATCATTTCAAAACTGCATTTTGTGTTTACTTGTGTTATCTTTGACTAATGGTTAAATGTGTTTGATGATCAGAAACATTTTGTGTGAGAAACATGCAAAAGAATAAGAAATCAGGAAGGGGGCAAATAGTTTTTCACACCACTGCAACTGCTTATCCGAGTTAGGGCTGATTCTATGAATGGAGCACAATCACTAGAGAGTGTCATGGTCCGTGGTGAGCTGTCAGCCTGTAACCAGGTTTTCTCCTGAGTATTGTTTTCACAGGTGGGCGTGTCTGAGAGCTCCCAGCTGCAGCTGATCTCACCATCAAGGTCCAGGGGATTTAAGGAGCAGTGTGACACTTCACCACGCCGGATGATTACTCTTTGGGTAGCTCTAGCCTCCGACCCGACCTTGACTTTGTATTTTGCTCTGATTAACCTGACGTCTGAAAACCCCCCTGATGCCCTTTCCTGCTCTCCTCCAGGTTCCTCACAATCTCTCACCAGCTCCAGAACAAGACCCGGATCTCAGCCTGCCTGACACACTGCTTCATCCCCTGGCCGCCCGCTCTCAGCCGCTCACCTTCCAACATCCATTCCTGTTCCTGCACCTCTGGACAAAACAATATCCTTCCCTGTGGCTCTCCTCAGCTCACCCGGACCTAGCAACCTTCCTGTACAAATACCACTACCCAGAAACAGTAAGACCAGTCTTTCCGACAACGTTTCCATTTGTTTTCGCCTCATATTCACTCGTTCTCTCTCCTTAGAATCTCCCCCCTGGATTCCTGCTGCCAGTCCTGCGTCTCGTCTGCTCCCGTCTCTCACATCGCTCTTTATGTAGTAATAAAAACCTTTTTTACTTACTTTCTTGTTCTCCGTATGGTGATTCTGCATGTCGTGGGTCAAGAAACTTCCTCCTGCCATGACAGAATCATCCGGCCATAATATTGACTCCATTGCAGAATCCGATCCGTCCGTTAACTCTCCGTCCGCCGTTTCTGAAACACTCTCCCGTCACGAACACGCCATTCATAGCTTGCTAGAACAATCCTCTGACTCCCACCAACGGTTACTCCTTATGGACAACATGTTACGCACCCTCACTGCCAAGCTAACTTCCCCGGAACCTTCCGCCCAGCCGCCTCCTGTTTCTCCTCCGTCCGCACATCCGGTTCCGGCTCCTGCCATAAACTTCCGGATACCCGACTCACTCCCTTCGGACACATATTCCGGTGAGTTCGGCAAATGCCGTGGTTTTTTATTTAACTGTCAGTTGACTTTTGAGAGATCCCCCGAGGCTTTTGTTGTAGATTCTGTAAAGATCTCATACATAATCGGATTACTCCGAGGCAAGGCGTTAGACTGGGCCGAAGCAAGGAGCCACGACGCCAGTTTCCTGCGCGGTTCCCTCTCACAGTTTCTGACCGAATTCAAGCAGACGTTTGATCATTCTGAGTCTCCCGCTGAAATAGCTAAACAGCTGTGGAACCTCCGTCAAGGAAAACAGACTGTTGCTGACTTCGCTATAGAGTTTCGCACACTGGCTGCAGTTTCCTCTCTAGATCAAGGTTCACTCCTTGGAGCATTCACTCAGGCATTAAACCATCGCCTCCAGGATCAGTTGGCGTTATGCCATGAACCCCCCGATCTAGAATCTCTCATATCCTTAGCACTAAAAATAGAGAAACGTCTCAAGGTACATTCTACGAGTTCTCCAGTGTCCCATCCGCCGTTAACCAAGATTAAACATTTCCAGCCACCAGTTACAACACCATCTGGTGACAAGCCCATGCATATAGGCAGAACTAATTTAACCCCAGGAGAAAGGCAACGTCGTTTCACTTCTAACCTCTGTCTCTACTGCGGTCAACCTGGTCACCGACTTTCGAGCTGCGCCCTACGTTTAAAAAGGGCAAGCCCACCAGTAGTTCCGGGAATACTGGTGGGTGGCAATGGTGTTTCAGAATCCCGCTGTACTCTACCATGTACCATCACGTTTAATCAAGAGAGTTGTTTGTTGAAGGCCCTGCTTGATTCAGGCTGTGAACGTAACATGCTGGACCAAACAGTCGTTCAAAAGCTGGATATCCCCACTATTCCTCTTCCGACTCCTTTGAGAGCATCGTCCCTGGATGGTAACACACTCACTGCCATTACCCACCAGACTGTGCCAGTAAACTTACAAGTATCAGGTAACCACCAGGAGAGTATTTCGTTTTTTGTGTTTCCATCTCCGCACTCTCCTGTTGTTCTAGGACATGACTGGCTTATCACCCATAATCCCCAGATAAATTGGAAAACGTCCCAAGTTACCGTTTGGAGTTCTCATTGTTTGACAAATTGCCTTCGTTCTGCTTCACCTTCCAGTTCTGCATCTAACCCCG